TCTGAAATTCTTTGTTAGGTTCCTTCCTGAGATATTTTCTTTCTTGGCTTTGGCTTCTCCTCTTTGCACTTTCCATTTTCCACTGTTTGTTCTGATATCCAACTTTTCTTTTTCTTGATCTTTGGCAAACACTTTTTCCTATCTGGTTCCCTATCAGTGAGGATCAGGATTTCAAAGTGATTCAGTTTCTCTTTGAAAATGGGTGAACATATGCTCAAGATCTTATTGTGGTAACTCACAGGCTTTGTTCTTCAGCTTCTCCTTGACTGCATATGAGCAGTTCATGATCCATTCTACAGTCAGCTCAATTAACTGAGCACTTCCAAATCCTTGTATCAATAATATAGTCAGTCTAATTCTGTGTGCTTCATCTGGGGATGTCCATGTTGTTTGAAAAATATTCATCAGAACAGTAATGAATAAATTATTGGATTGCCTGAAATGGTTATTATCTTGCTTCATTTCTGTTACTTAGGCCATATTGTCCTACTTCAGCATTCCAGTTTTCAGCTACCACTGCACGTCCTGCTTGCATTGTTTAGATTAGACTATAAATTTCAGATTAAATTTGAGTATGAAATTTGTCAGCCTCCTCTTCTGCATCAGTTGAAGCACAAACTTGGATAATAATCCTATTAAAGCAGGGTTTCTCAACATTGTGAACTTTATGATGTGTGTCTTTAAGTCCCAGAATTTTCCATCCACCCATGCTGGTTGGAGAATTCCGGGAATTGGAAGTCCACTCATCTGAAAAGTTCACAAGGTTGAGAAATGCTGTATTGACTGTGAAATCTAACTGATGTTATCTGCTGACTGACTACTGCATTGCATCCAAGTACTGCTTTTGCTGTATGAAAACAACGCAATTTCTTGTTTCCATGTTCCAACAAGTAAACAGTATGATCTACTGAAAGTTTCCAATTCTGGGGAATTCTAGCTGGGGAATTTCAATTTCAATTTGCTGACACCCAAGGCATTACTGTCTAGTTCCTTTAATCTTTCAATGTGTTGTGACTTCCCATGTTCATTTTTCTTAATTTCCATGTTCCCATATACGTAAGTCTGCAGCTTTTTTTCTTGTAGGGCAACATCACAAGGTAGACATCCAGAGGGCTTTAATATAGCTGCATCATACACTAGAACACTGAAAGATTCTCAGTTCTTCCTCAGTAGTAATACTGCCACGTGACCTGAGAAGTCTATCATCTGGCATTATTTGTCAACCACTTTATATTGTCTGCCCATCTGCCTTTCTTGGTAAAGTGCAGGAATAGTTTATCATTGCTTTCTCCCACACAGTATGACTGTTTGCTGTTGTTACTAAAGTGGTAACTTACCTTCAGCATCTTCCTATAATATTGATGTCAGATATATGTACCTACTTGCTTTAACTGGGCAGTTGAAATCACCCTCAAGCTTTGGGTGATCCTGCTGGAATGATACACTGTATTTTTGGAATACCTTCAGTGTTCTTTGTTTCTCTCTCCCAGGAAGCCCTTCCCTCCAACCATAATGAGGTGGCATAGCAGGATATCAGGTGGGAAAGCAATAAAAAACCATTCACAAACCTTGTCTGCCAACCAAAGCCGCAGAAGTGACCATCAGCCTGTTTCATACTATACAAAGAATATATATGGAAAGTGGAGAAGTGCCCTGGTTGATCATCTTTAGCAGTGTTTCTCAACCTTGGCAGCCTTCAGATGGTATGGGCTTCAACTCCCAGAATTCCCCAGCCAGTCAACCTAGACTAGCTGGAAATTCTGGATGGGATTCCATTCCTAACACACTGGAGGGCACTGAAATGGGGGAACACAATCAATAGGACAAGGACAGAATCTGCCAATGCTGAAGGAGAATGAGAGAATAAAGCAGTTATCTATAGACCAACCTTTCCAATCCTGATGCCCTCCAAATATGTTGAGATATCCTTCCCATCACACTGGATGGGGATGATAGGAGCTAATTCAACACACCCAGAAGGCCTCAGTTTGGAGAAGGATGTTATACTCAAAGGTCTGGTAGTCCAAAAACATTTATTTGGAATTCCTACAATTCAAACACTTTTGCGGATTGTCAACAAATACGTTTACATAATGATCAGTCACATATTTGGGTACTTCCATTTTTAATATAATTTTTTACAATATATCTCTTCATTTGTATATATTCATCGCATTTATAACTTCTTTTTAAATACATATTAAGCCAAACAGGAATAAATCTAAGAAGTTGATTTTAATAATGTTAAATCAAAACAGACTATCCTCCCCCAACCAAAATATTTTTTTTTCTGAACCCCCCCCCCCCAAAAAAAATAAGCATGTAAGAAAATTAATGACTATTAACATTTAAGTGTTATGTTGGGAAAATAAAGTTGCATTAGGATGGTAATAGTCTCTCGATATGTTGGATACAATTTAAGATACACAATAATCACTTGTAGGCACATTTCTTGTTTTCTTCTCCACATTCACCCTTCAAATCTCAGTTTTGCATTCATCTGAAACTACTACAGATATTAACTGCAATGTTTGCTAACTGTCTTAATTCAATATATAATGTGCATCTTTCACGCTAGCTAAAACAAAGGCCATAATTCTTCCTTGTGAGAAAAATAAGAAATGAAGAGAGCAATCAATGTAAGGCAATGATTGATGTTCATGCTCAGCGGTGACCCAGTAAATTCCTTGTACAGAGGTTAGAACAAAAGACGGTTTCAATCTTTTCTAGCTTCAAAATTCTTATTGGTCATAGGAAAAGCAATATGCAAGGCAACAGTTACTTTCCTTTCAATATTTATATGATTATGTAGAAAGGGACACATCATAAGCCAAACAGAAACAGGAGGAATTGAAACCATGACACTGTTGATTACAGGTCTCAGGTCATGCCATGTACCATGAATAAAATTTGCAATTTTGTTTTGGAGGAGAGTGAAAAATAAGCCGAGACTCCAGTTGTCATGAGTTCCTTTTCCCTTTCAACAAGCTATCCATCAAAAGATCCTACCTTTTAAAAATTGTGATGAACTTTTTTTTTTTTTTTTTTTAACAGGAGCAACATTGCTCTCCAAATGGATTTCTGGCCTCTTTGGATACAACTATCATTGAAATGGCCTTCAGAAAGTGCTTCCCATCTGGCTGTATGTGATCCATAGCTTGTCTCAACGTACAGCTCGGAAGACAATAGATATCTTTGCTACAACAGGGATCATCTCCTAAGATTGATGCTTTATGGAAAATCTGATTGGGTGAGAGAATGCATCCTGGCCAAAAGCTGATTGTGCTGGCTATGGCTTCTGTTCTTGAAAAGAGATGAGAGAATTGGAGGTTTTTCTACATTGATTGACATTTGCCATTGTAAACAGTCAAGCACTCTCTACTTTTCCTATAGTGTATTGCTTAAGCCAGGGAAAGCTCCAGCCCCTTGGCACAATCTTGAAGACCAATATGCAAGCACCCAGCATCATCTCCAGCAGTTATATCTAGCCTGAGGTTTTTGCAATCTTAGCAACTTTTAAGATGTGCGGACTTCAACTCTCAGAATTCCCCAGCCAGCCTTTCTGTCTGGAGGGGGGGGATTCTGGAAGTTGAAGTCTGCACTTCTGAAAGTTGCTAAGGTTGAGAAACATTGAATCTCTGTCTTTCACTTTCAAAAGATCAACCATTTTTTTTAGAAAAAAAGGCATTTTATAAAGAAAACACTGTTGTTTTTTTTAAACGCTTCAGCAGGAGCAATATATTTGATGTGTGTCCCTACACTGATTTGCCATCACAATGTTCAGATCCTCCAGGTGCGTTTTCCCCTGGATTCTGAAAATCCTGAAAGACATACTGAAGCACAACTGATGACTGGCAAGCTTGATAATAATATAAATATACAGCTGGCAATATATGGTTTCCACATAGAAGCACCTAGCTTTCCATGCAGTTGTCCTGGGAGAGGACAAAAAAACAACAACAAAATCTCCCCTACCCTGCATTGCTACTTTCCCTCCTGAGGTGAGAAATTAAAGCCTATATATTTCATGTTTGAGATCTTCTTATGTCTTCCCAGTTCAGAAGGAGCTCTGTGGTTATTGTTGTGAAAAGCAAGATGAAGAGTTCACTTTCTCTACACCACAGCATTCCTAAGATCTTGTGGGAGGAAAAACCCCGTTGCATCCCCCCCTCCCTCTTCTCAATGGGATCTTATTGGGAAAAAAAAATAATTCCTTTCTCTTGCCTTCTTATGAGCAAATACTGTAAATTCCAGGCCATGGGAATTTTTATTGTATGACATCTTCAGGAGTTTGGAGCTATCTGTGAAAGACCGGCTTTTAAGGAGAACTGCCAGCTTCTTGGTTCTCTACCCCAACACTATCGTTCCATAAATGCCCAGATAATCTACCCTGCTCTTCTCAGAAAATACATTCTTTCTTTTTGCTCATTTGTAGGAACTGATCTGGATCCTGGAAGCTGGCCCTCGCTAGGGAAGGAGCCTCCATCTCAAAAGGAAAAAAGGGTGTAAGGCAGCAACTCAGTTTTCCGCCATGCTGTAGCCTAAAACCCTCTTAAATATCTTGCTTCTTCCATCCTCATTCAGGCGTTCACAGGCTGCCACTTGCTAATTCCAGTTCATTCGCTCGTTAGCCTTTTCTGGGTAGAGGATATGCACAGGATGACCGGAAGATGCGATGACTGCCAGAAGATGACCTGAGTTCTCCTTCTTTGGGGGAACTTCATCCCCTCTTCCCTGCCTTTTTTTCTTCCAAGATTCAGAGGGTGAATACTGTTCCAGAGATATGAAGTGCATATGGCACCGGAAGTGCTCCAGGGAATTCTCCCCCATTTCCCCAGATGTGCGCTTTTGCTCTTACAGAATCTAGGTTGGGGAGGAAGAAAGGTTGGCTGGCTGCTGAGTGCACATACACTGAAGCAGGAAAGGCCTCTGCCTTTCTCCGATTCGGGAGCCGAGCGAAAACGCTTGCACCAAGGTTCCTCTGGACAAGAACTAAGTTATTCTGAGCAGCAAAAGACATTCCTAGACATTCCAGGGACTTGTTGATTTGTTGGGATAGTTAATGGCAAGACTAATAGCAGCAATGTTTTTCAGGGCCTGTTAAACAAACAAACAAACAAACAAACAGTTAAAAAAAGCAGAAAGATGATTAAAAGCATATCGCGTTTACTATCGAGAAATGCCACTGACTGTTAAGTTTTTTATCAGGTTCAATTCAGCATGTTAATTTGAATTTCAAAGCCAGTTTTCCCCACTCAGAGAAAGCAGATTTAGAACATAATAATAGAATAAACACTTGGTTTTTCTTACTACGGTATTTGAGCTAATTTTTGGAGCAATGTCTCTGGATTCATTGGCCTGATGCCAATTTAGTCATTCCAAAGGACTTCACGCAGTTCCCATTTCAAATTTGTTTCAACTCTTCAAGGGACTCCACCCATATGGGGAGGAGCTTTAGAACAAGAGGAACAGGCTGTCCTACCTGGGCTGTACAGTGGTAGAGATGGTCTTCCGTATTTAAGGCAAGCAAGTAATCCTGCAGAGACCCAAGTTCCTGCAAACAGAAAAAGTGAGGCTCATAAGCAAACTATAGGAATATACATCTGTGGTCTGCAAAACAAAGAAAAACAAATGACTTACACTAACTCTGCTCTCAGCAACAAAGAAAAGTTCAGTGAGTGCCCGGTGGAGTGGAAGAAGGACCCCTGGCTTAGTCACTTCAAACTTCATGTTTTTTTCCATGTGGCTGAAAAGATTCCACAGTGGCTTCAGCAAAGTGAGATCACAGTCTCTGAAAATAAAAAAAAGGTGTGTTAAAATTAGCATGAAAGACAGTGCACTGTAAATGGCATGACCGCTAAGCGCTGTTTTACCTACGCAGACCAATTTCTCAAGTTACTATTTTGAATGCCATTTTATCTCCGTAGTTCTTAGGAATCCAAGTATTAGTTTTACACAAAACCGCACTAAAAAGGTGCAATGTAAATGTTCATTTTCCACCATGGAGCTGGGACAATTGATAGTAGGCATCTTCTGCCCACTTGTTACGGAGGCAGGGCTCAAGATTTCTTCTTGAAGGAAATAGAGTGCCTTCCCCAGCATTAGAATGCCAAGCAAGAAAAAGAGGTGCAGAAGGATAAGGCACTGAGATGTGAAAACCGCACACAACCGATGCAAATCGGGATGGAGTCCTGAGGTGCCTACCTATTTTTCTGGTTAGAACCTTTGGGGCATCTGAAGGGCCAAATGATTTTGAGTCTTTCAAGCCTTACTGATGTCTAGATGTTCCCGAGCAGTCGTGAAAAACCTGCTTTCTGACTAAGCCTAGTGGATCTGAGGATTAATTGCTGGTCGTGTTCCTTATCTGAGGAGAATTCTACTTCCTTGCTATCTGGTTCTGCATCTGACCAGATGATAGTTGAGATGGTGAACCTAAGTCTCTCCTTAGGATGGAGGCAAGGATCCCCCTACAAGAGTGGCAGGATGATGTTTGCCCACCGTGGTGGGGATCTCAGTCTGAGCTGGGGACTGGTGATGTTTCACTCTGCCCTCAAAGCCCTTGTGACTTGTGCCAGCTGGCAACCCAAGGCAACGTTTCTTGCCTTCTTCTTTCCTCTTGGGGAAGCACAGAAAGGAATACCACAGTGAGATGAGGGGGAGTACTGCTGCGCCACTGGGCCCGGTCTCCATGCCTGGCCTCAGCCACTGCAGAGAGAGTAAGTTACATGAGCCTGCTGATCATGGCACCTGTACTAAGTTAAAGGGAACAGGGACAAAAGAGAGGGGGAAAAGTTCTGACTGTTCTGGTCACATGAATGGCCCATAGAATTCACAGCTGTGCATCATCTCTGGAGCAAGGCAAATCAACAACTGGGAAAAGAGACTATCCCTTTATGTACAGCAGGGATGTCCACCCTTACTAACTTTAAGATTTGTGGACTTCAACCTCCAGAATTCCCCAGCTAGCCATGCTGGCTGGGGAATTCTGGGAGCTGAAGTCCATAAATCTTAAGTTGCCAAGTTGGACACTCCTGCTCTAGAGGCTGCAGAAGAAATTTAAGTGCTGCCTTGAGAGTGGTTGGGAGGGACTTACCACTGGATTCATTGGAAAAACAAACAGGTCAATATTTATGAAGAAAGAAGTATGAAAAAAGCTAAGTAACCACTTGTGAGGCAAAACTATTTCTTCCATTTACAATTTGGAACTGAGAGAACTCAACATTTTACACTTTCAGTTCCAACTGAGAATTTAAACAAAGGGGTTAAAATGAAAATATATAGCCCTCAAAATCATAAGTACTGTGGATTATGCATTTTCTGCAAAAACACAAGAGCAGGGAACTCCCTCAAGAAAAGCAAAAGTAGGATCGAAAAGTGTACCTCTCACTGCTGCACTGTATGATCTTCAAGAGCAAGTGGATGGCTTTCAATCGTTGGTGTCCAATTTGTCGGCAGGCCACGCCCACCTGCCACTCCCAAACTTTAGCAAGTGGAATATGAGGAATTGCCTTTTCCTCTGACAGCATTTGTTTCAAGATCTCAAAGCCTGAAATTCAATATAAGCACACTGCATTTTCTATGCGTTCTTTTAAGTCTCTGTATTCTTCTCTTTAATTAATCCTATATTCTTATCCGCAGAGACGTTCATAACTAAGCTGGTATACAGAGCTAAAGAAAAACACACAGTATACTTGAGGAGATTAGAAAAGCAGTTTCATAAAGCTAAAATACGTTCATAACTAAGCTGGTATATAGAGCTAAAGAAAAACACACAGTATACTTGAAATTAGAAAAGCAGTTTCATAAAGCTAAAATAATCAAGATAGATAGTACAATTATTTTTATTTATTTAGGGCAGCACTCTGACTTCCCCTATCTAGATGTGTTGGAGGGTCACTCTCAGTGTTGATGGAAGGAGACTGACTTAGATCTTCTTAAGTTCTCGACGTACGTATTTATTATTTTATTTAGTGTCCCTACACAAAGATACCCACCAAAGCAATAATAAAATGCTCCAATACTAAGCAGTACTGACCTGTCTGGAATCTCCCCAGGTGACCAGCTGTTACTGTAAACTTATAACCCCATTCGGTATTGCTCATGTCAGTGGTGAATCGGTAGTAGAGTGTATCTCCTGTCAAATAAGAAGGAAAGATTCTCTCATACAAGCTGAAGTGACCCATCTGATAAGGCTTCCCTATTTCTTTCATACACCTGCAGGAGGGAGACTCACCTCTTTAACTATTTTTTTTTTTTTTTACTATTTGTAGTTATCATAAGAATTTGTACTAAAATTGCTTTAGGTTATTTTTTTTTAAAAAAAGTTCCTTCTTTTATTGGAACTAATTATGATGGGTTTAAAATTAACAATCAAGATTTATTTGTTTGTTTGTTTTAGAATAGTTATATAGCCGTCTACTTGCTCACAGTGACTCTACGCAGCTTTGCATTGCTCAGATGACCTGAAGACACAGATAAGCAAATGGGCAGCTGTCTGCAGGAGTATAAATCCTTCCATTCCCCACCATCCAGTCAGAGCTGAAGAAGCTTCTTGGATGAGAAGCGAAACGTCTTCAAAGAAAAACAAGGAAGTCCAGTTGCCTTGTGAAAAAGCATCTTTGGGATAACCAGTGGAACGGCTTGCTTCCAGAAGTTGTGGGTGCTCCATCACTGAAGGCTTTTAAGAAGAGACTGGGCAGCCACTTGCCTGAAATAGTATAGGGTCTCCTGCTTGAGCAGGGGGTTGGACTAGAAGATCTCCAAGATCCCTTCCAATTTTGTTATTCTGTTATACTTCTGACACAGACCTTCAAAATAAGGGATAATCGATTTCCTGAAGAAATCTTTTGTAGTTTACCTGGAAGTTCAAAATCAGTCCATTTGTGTGGAGGCCCACTGAATGTATGACGATCATGGATGAAGTCACAGCTGCTGGCTATGACCAACTCATCACATCCCTCTTCGGTATTACACTGAGAGTCAAATTTGACTGAGAGGTAGATAGCACCAGGGATATGAACTTTATCCTGTGGATAAAAGAATGTATGAATATCAGTGGTGTTCCACAGTCCCATACCAACATGAACCAAATGGGTAGAAGCCAATCAACCAAAATGACTAAAGAAAACCTGCTGGAATCCTACAGCTCAAAAATGGGGAAATCACCGTGGAGGTTTGATAGTTTTATGCCTCTGATGCAAGGAGAATAAAAAATGTTATGAGTGGCAGGCTGCAAAAGGCGTCCTTGCCTAGTCCATGAAGAGGAACACGCAGCCCAGCTACCATTTGGCTCTATATAAAGTTGCATGGGCCTATCTAACCACCTCACCAAAAGATAAAGGTTAAGCACTTCAAACATTTTTTAAATAAATAAAATGATTTATTTCACCGTTCTTTCAAGGAATTTCTGTGTCTGCTGTTTTTAACCTCAGCAGCTATCCTGCTCCACTTTCTGAGAGACAGTCCTCCCGATTCTCCCCTTAAATGATTTACTCGGGGCTTTTTTTCTCATAGAACGCCCAGAACGGACTTCCGGCACCTTTTTTTGGATGGAACCTTATAGGGTAGGCAAGGCGGGTTGTATGACGTATGTGAGTTCCAGCACCTTTTTCTTTTTTTAGAAAAAAAGCACTGGATTTACTTATACAAACAGAGTTGTACGCACTCATGCATGCGCCTGCCACTCACACAGAACCATCCCCTCTTCCCCCCCCCGCCGGTCCGCCAATCTGGAAAAGTTGGGGACCACTGGTCTAGAGTCATCTTAAAGGGGAGATGGAGGGTATAAAATTTTAATACATACAAAATGAATAAAAATAAATAAATGTTCAAGTCTAAAAAAACCTAAAACCTGTTTTCCGAGGGATTAGCAACTTCTCCCAGTTTTGTATCATCTGCAAATCTGATGAGCATCCCTTCTATCCCCTTGTTGAAAAGCCTGAGCCTAGGGCAAGACCCCTGAGATCCCTCCTTCCTGACAGATGCATTAAGGGCCATGTATTGTACAGTTATTCAATCAACTGTGAATTCATCTGATCGTGGGCCATCCATACCTATTGTTTCCTTTTATCAAAGAAGTGGCTATGATGGTGTCAAATAATTTTAGCAACGTATCATCTTCTTTTAAAACACAAATGATCTCTACCCATATTCCATCTCTTGTGTATAAACACATCCTTAAAGCCTCATCGTTTCTATCTGGAGGTCGGCAAAAGTCCATTAAGGGTTACCAGAAATAACATTATTATTATTATTTCTGGTCACCCTTGATCAAAACAACTCTATAGTCCTTGCTTTTACTCCTAACAGTCTTGATCTTTAGTCCTTTCAAATAATGTCCCAGAACTTGATTTCTTTTCATTTTTTGTCATTTCTCACAAAATTCTCCAAAGCTTTAATAAGTCTTTATTTAAAATCCAATATAAAAAAATTATCCAAGTCATTATTGATTGATTATTTGTATATCTCTTTTAATTATTAAGACATCAGCTGGTTTCTTTTGTATGTCCAATGTAACATCTTTTTTGCCTGACATTTTAAAATTTACTTGTCAATCTTTTCAGAATCAAATTTAAATGTTTTTCTCCTTTAATTCTAATCTTTACTTCCCTCTAGTCTAATTTTTTAAATCTTATTTTATTATATAAATATTTTTAAGAATTAAAAAAAAACATTTTCTAATGGGAAGGATTCCTTACAATCAATATCAAAATCTTACTGCAAGACAAGATTGAAATATCTTATCTGGCCCCTTAATCCATTTGTAACTTTCTAAAATCAAAATTTTAATCATCCTTTTGTTGTTTATTCCGAGCAATTTTTTAAAATCCTTAAACTTGTATTTAAAACTTCTTTCACTAAGGATTAAAGGAAACCCATCTGGTGCTATAAAACCTGTTGATCCAAAAATTCTTAGTAGCTGAAAAGCAATTAATAAGTAATTTCCGAAAGGGTTTAGAAAAGGAAGCATACAAACCCAGTGTCCTTTCAAAGGTGACAACCATAGTTTGAGCAAAATGGCCATTTCCTCATCACCCAGAGCTCTAAACCTGCCAGAGACTTCTTTCTCACAGTCTCCTCGTGAGGAACAACAGTCTGCAGCACTCGTGAGTAATCGCATGTTCTCTCCTCGTCTGGAGAGGACTTATCAGAGCGGGGCTACTTGCCAGCTCTTCATTTTACTCAGTCATTAGCTTCACTTTTTGCGGAACTGCCTTCAGTCCGCCATTTCTTCTTTGGTAGTCTTGTACCTAGTCCACAGTAAGGCATTTAATTGGGTTGGCCATAGCCACCTTTTTGATAAAATGGAACAATATGAGATGGACGGTCTTTTTCATTTGGAACTGCCAATGCAAGCATGACTGACATTTTGCTCACCTGGCGTCAAGACAACTAAGCATAGTACCTCAAAATTTGTATTATTGTTGTAAGGATGCTTGGACTCGCGCACTTGGACCGCCATCCCAGGCTCCTCCATGAACTGACAGGCTGTAAGTGCCATCTTTGCTAGCATGGTTCCACTGCACCCACGGAGCACTTTCAGTAGGATCTGTAGGAAGGATCAGGGGGAGGGAGTGACCACACAAAATAAATGTTGGTTAAAGTACTGTTAAGTTTGGTATCAATAAAAATACAGGTGGGTGTGATGAATAATGAAACAAGAAAGGTAAAGTAAGAAAAGACACAGAGAGACCCTGGATGGCCCTTGTCTGCTTTTGCCCAAGACCCTGATGTCTAAAAGTGAGAAAAGAACTTACTCTTAGATTATTGGTAGAGGTGTGCTTGATATTCACTATTTCTCCTATTTGGAATGGATTCACAGATTTAAGTATGAACAAGATTAATTAGAGATCATCCTTAACAAGATTAGGAAGCAATTTCAAACCTTTTTTCCAACTTAAGCAAGAAAACTAGGAGGAAGGAGATGGTTTTTAAGTCAAAGCCAAAATTTAGAGCACTATAGAGCCCTACATGGATAAGAACATTTCTAAGGTCAAAACTCTGATCATCTAAAGGAATTTTCTTTGTTAGTATTAGTGGATTGCTCCAGTAACATCACTTATGTTCAAAGGAAGCACGACTTCTCCCTGAGAAAATAAGGCAGCTATTGTCCACTTAGCCCAATTCCATTTACGGTGACTAGCAGCTATCCAAATTCTCAGGCATTCTAGGATTGCTTTATTTGAGACTGAACTGTGATCTTCTACATGCCAAATAAGTGCTTTACAATTTCTTGCAGACATTCTACATCTGATCTCTCCTGTCGTGAACTTCAAACAATCTTCTTGAATAATCTAATTATGCAGCTGAGACAACCAGACAACAAGGAAAGGAAAAACACGGAAGGAGAGAAAATGGGAATATTCCGTTTCACTTTTCTCCTCCTTAAAATCCAACTTGAATAGTAGACTAACATATTGTCTTCTAGCACATTAAAAACAAAATTGGTCAAAACAAAACAAAACAAAACAAAACAATGGAGTTAGGACAGACTGATATTCTGATTTGCTGCTAGTGTCAAGCTACTTTTCCCGGTTCACTCCCAAATCAGAGAGATATACTAAAACAAGTCATTACCTTTTCACACAGCTGTTTTTCCTCTAACTGCAACAGCATGTCCAGGATATATGTCATGTGTGCTGGGCCACTGAGATCTAACATCTCCTCGCTTATTGCTATGTCATCAGGCCACTCAGCCAACAACAAAGCAAGGACATGCCTGGCATAGAGGACAGCAGTAGCTTCATTGATTCGGTAGAGATAACCCCGCACAGTTTTCTTGCTTCTGGAGTCCAACTCCTTATGCAGGAGGACAGAACTTTTGGTGCGGCGTTGCTTGGCATAACTAAGTTGGAGGTCACTTTCTGTGTTGGTGATGAGTTTCTGGGACACTGGGTTGGATTCTTCAGTGGCTTTGCTGCAGGAAGCAGGCTTGGACTGTAACATAAAGGGTGTCTCAGTAGATGTGAAGTTGTCTCATTTCAAAATCTACCCCGCTTTTGGAATGCTGCCCATGTATTGTATGATTTATTTTTTTTGTAGCAGTCAGTAACAGAAACTATGTCGGATCTTTATAATTAAGTGGAGACTGGAACTCAAATCTTGCTTGTCCACATCTAGAATCCTGACTGATATACCATGCTAAATGACTGAACGTAGGTTGAGGACTACTTGTAAAGCTCTCCAAAATGGAGACTAGAATTTAAACATGCATTAATATTCTACAGTACATTCTGAAGGTAAGGGTTTGATACTGCAGATATGTCGTATTTCTTGTTGTGTGTTTCTAGTTTAATATCCTTTAGATGTGTATTAAATTTCTGCTTCTCCAAATATCTCACAGCTATGCCAATGAATGATTGAAGAATAGAGATTTGAGATTTTTTGAGATTTTATTAAATTTATACCCCGCCCTTCTCCCGGAGGACTCAGGGCGGCTTACAGCCAGTTTAAAACAGTGATACAATACAAAATTTAAAAAGATTAAAAATAACTATTTAAATAGTTAGCAATATTAGTTTGGTATACATTGCAATCAACAAACATTTTTCAACGCCCATGTCCTTCCAGATGCTTAGACTACAATTCTAATCAGTTCTGGCTAATATGGTTAATGATCATATTTGGTGGAAGTATTAGATATTACTACATAAACGGAACAAAGTAAAAAAATGCTTTGTATAAAACAGTACACTCACCAAACATGGCACAATGATCATATCTGTATCCAGGGCTTTGGAATTCTGCTCTTCTGTGCGTAAACGCTTACTGGGCTGCCATTTTTGAGCCAATGTACGAATCCTTTCATCCATGGTAAGTACTTCTCCATCAAATCTTTAAAAATAGGCGCACAAATATTTTTACTGTCAGAATTTAAAGACAATACCTTTGAGCTGAGCAATCTCTACATTTAAAACCACTTCTCTGTGTTTCATCCCATCAAGTGCTCTTTATATTAGCAGTTATATGGTCATGTGGCTTTCTTTGTTTCTAGATATCTTCTTGTCCATGTTCCATGCAATTTAGAATATCTTTTATATCTTACACTTTTAAGTTGCAATATAAGCATGTTTTCAAAGACAAGGTAACTGATTGCAAGTAATTTATCCTCTCTCTGTCTCCAAGGTCAAGAAAATGTGTCTGATGTGTTGGGCTCTAACCACCATGATTTACAGCAAAAATGAAAGGATAACAGCTTGGAAATGGCTGTTTTATCAAAAGATTATAGCATAAAGGTATCTTACAGAAGTGGCCTGCCTCTCTCTGGGGTTGTGCCATTTCAGCTTGTAAATGGGCAAGACCATGATGGAATGTTCCTTGCACACTAAATAGTTCTCCTCACTAAAACCTGGCCTACAAGAAAGCTGAAATGGTACTCTTATCTTACTCAAAATCATCAACAGCTCAGTTAGAAATACAAGAAGTCTTCCTGCCCCATTGCAAAATACCTGCAATTGTTAAAAATAAACTCCTGGCCATCTGCTAGTTTCCTCTTTAGGTATTCTTGATTAATAGATTAATTAAGTCACTATGGCTACACAAATTTTCATTCCAAGTCGGGTTCGAAAATTCTCCTACCTCTTCTGAACTTCTAGGAAGAAAGAATCTGTCTTTTTCATATGCAATTCATACATGGCTCGAAGAATATGTAGAGGTGCATCAAGAGCATCATGTGTCATCTGAAAATAGATTTAACTCTGATTAGGTGAGAAGAAGGAAAATACTTTCTAATAGTAGACAATGTAGCTCAGGGTTGAATTGTTGGATTCTTAGTTTTGGCTTGGTTGTTTTTTTTATAACTGCAAATATATTTTTTTTTATCAGATGTTTCATTGCTAGTAAACACCAAAAATCCAAGTCACTTTTTTTTCTTTTCCCCTAAAAACCACTGTGGAAGTATTGCATTGGTAGAGTCAACGTTTGAATCTGAATTATTTTGTTAGGCTTCCACAACACACAAATACCCTACCCCCACACCCCATACAATCATTATACTGGCTGGCTGGATAAGATCTACCTGCAAAACCTGGAGGGTGGGAGTGTCAATGCAATTTCTGTCAATTCATTACATTTACTATGACAGGACACAGCAAAGAAATAAAAATACTAAAAACATCAGCCTAGTATTACCTGAAAGATTAGATAGATTTGTTCAAGAAAAAGTTTTACATTTGGACTAGACTTCACTTCGGAGGCTAACTGTGTATTTGTTCAAAGTTGACTAGAGTCCATGAAACTGATAGTACATCGATAGTATTATCATTCAGGCATGAATGGATTTTGTATTTTTGTCACTGTAACATTCTAATAGGATTTTTATTTGGATTTTGGGACAAACTGAAGTTGAATATTGAAGCAGAGGTGGTGAATTGGAATATAACTTCAGGGTCACACACTGTATGATTGTACATACCAATAGCCTCCCCCCCCCCCGAGTGAAACACTAATCTTAAATTTCTGCTTGTATTCTTAGGTCTGTCTTTTGCCTTGATGAGGACTAATCCCTTGTTGTCTGAAGAGAACTTCAAACAACATGTACAGTGCAATGCAAGCTTACATGCTGTGCTTCTGAGAACAACTGAAGCATTGTCCCCACCCCATCCACTGTACATTAAAAAACAGTACCAGGAAGCATATTTTGGTGGTTTCATCCAAGCCTTCCAGTGGGTCAAGCCTATTCTGCTCAGCATCAGAAGTGTCAACAGACTCATTTACTGCTTGTTCATGATCTCGCTCATTGAATTCTAAGTCCTTCTGCTCAGCCATGGAGTTTATCTCTTTTTTTGAAGAATAAAGCATGACCGACAAGATCTGCGAAGACAAAGACAAGGTACAACTTAAATTCCATTGGAAAGCCACTGAAGCTACAAGACAAATTACAGGCCAGATTTGCTTCTCCTCTGTCAGGCTGCTTCCTCTTTAGCCTCTAGCCATACTCTTCAATTTTAGTAGTTGAACAATAAACCATGAACATAACCAATAATAATGTATCGGTAAGTGATGAAGTGAATATTAGTTCATTGAATTGTGCCATGGAACTCTTACTCTCAAAAAGGCTGTCTCAGAGTTGTGCTGTATGTAGTTCCATAACAGACTCACAAAGCATCCAGCCCCCCTCCCTCCATCAATTTCCATTCAGTTTAGGTTTGCTGGGTATATCATTCTAGTCTGGAGCAAAAAGGCTAGCAACACATCCATTTAACATTCCTTCTCCATAGCTGCAGCACAATTAGAAAGATTGAAATGACGAAGAATATAAAACTGCAAGAATGAGAAGGAACTGCCGAGGTACAGAATAATCAAACAACTGAGCACGTGGGGAAGAATTTGCCCAGCCCTTAAATGCATTGATATGTTACCTCCAAGTCTCGCAGAAGCCAAGTCTTACTGAAGCCTGTTCCTTTGCTACACTTCTTCACCAATAGCTTAAGCAAGCCAGATTGCAGAAAGGCTGTGCGGATTTCTTCAAAAGCATGTGTCTGTTGGTCACAAGAAAAAAATGGTAACCGTTAACACTTTGACTAAGATTGATAGTTTATCAGGTTTTCTCAATCTCAGCAACATTAAGATAGGTGGATTTCAACTGGAATTTCCCAGGCAGCATGTTGGGGATTTTTGGGAGTTCAGATGTCTTAACATTGTTGAGTTCACACATCTTAACAATACTGAGGTTGAGAAATGCTGGTCTATATGGACTGATTTTTTTCAGGATTTTTTGTTAAAGGATTTCTTACATGAGAAAGGCACTGAACATATTAAGGATCACATTTTCATCTATAGTGTACAGAATTATAGACCACTGTTCCTTCCCAAAGAAAAAATAGTGTGGTATATAGTATTCCTGATCAAGAAAACGTAATCTTGGATTGCAGTGCTTGTGTATTAAATTTATAAAGATTGAAAATAACTTTTTAGAAGGGTGAAGGGGTTTTTGGCTGCTGGCTTTTGTCTTAACTGTAACTTTTTGCTAATAAAAACTATCAACATTCTTAAGTTATATTCTTAACTTCTTGTTCCTCCAGGTTCTTTTTTCTGTTATTTTAAAGAACCTAAGATGATTGGTTCAAAGTCAAGGCTAGACAGCCATTTTTTTTATTAATGCTTTAATCTGGATTAGAGAACGGAAAACTGAATGTGATGGCCTAAATGGCTTCTTAGATTTTGAAGCTAAAGCTCAAATGAGAAAAGATGTCTTATTTGAAAAGATCCCGATATTGGGAAAAATGAAGACAAGAGGAAAGGGGAGAACAAAGGATGAGATGATTACATAGTATAATTGACGCAGTGGGCATCGGTTAAGGCAGACTCTGGCAGACAGTGGAGGACAAGTGGCCTGGCGTGCTGTGGTCCATGGGGTCACGAAGAGTTGGGCACGATTTAGCAACTGAACAACAACAAAATGGCCTCTTCCAGTTCTGTGAGTCTATGTTTCTTTATCAGAAATCAGCAGTGTTCTTTCTTCTATGCCCCCCCCCCACAATGATTTATATAATTCTGAGTCATAAGATGCCTTGGGAATCTTTGTCCGTTTTTGTACCTTAAGTGTTCTGTAAAGTCCCTTCAGAGCAAGAGATAAGACCCATGTTGCTTCCACTGCCTCTGCAAGGCTACTGTCAATGCTGGTCTGGAGAAGATGGCTAGTTATAAACACAAAATGTTGGAGATACTGGCGGAGCTGGCCCTGAGACTCAGCATCATCTTGCTCACATGGCTTAATCAGCTGGAGATCTTTTACTAGAACAGAAATAGATGAATACATAAGTTTCGGTTAGTAGCTGTCCTGGGTTCAGCTCTGTTTACTTAATTCTGGCCTTGGCTTAACACGATGCAATGTGAGAAAAACACAAATTCATTTTAAAAAAATGATTTCAGATCTATCTCAAAAATAAACTCTTTAAAGAATTATGTTTTTTATATTCACAGAAAGATGATGTAGACAGAATATAGATTAAGAATAGGCTGGCAGTAAATAATATTATCATATGATTCGCATTCAGCCACTTCTAATATTTTACTCCAATATAGATAGCCCTTGCTTGCTTACTGACTGCCTTGTTCAGTGACCATTTGAAGTTACAATGGTGCTGAAAAATAATTTTACAACCAATGTCTGCATTTACAACCTTCACAGCATCCTTCAGTTACATGATCACCATTACAGTCAGTATGCATTGTCCTGTTGTTTTTCTCCCCGTACACTTGCAGAGAAGAGATTGGAGAGGAAGGGACTGCAATGGAAGGAAAGCACACAATGGGACATAGTGACACTGGCAGCACCAAGCATGCTATGCAAACAGCCAGTATAATCCCCATTGTATGTCTGCTTACTCTCTTGTAATTCCTTCCTCTCTAATAAATGTAAATTACAAACACTAATTCCTTTCTTGTTAATTATCTCAGTACTAGGATAACCATTCCAAAGCAGGAATGGTTAGGAGGCAAACAAATGTGGAAGTTATGAAACTAATAATTATAGGTAGCAGCAATATGCCAGCACTGGATCGTGAGTGGGGAAAAAGAAAGCACAGTTGTGATCATGTGATTTTCCACTTAGCTCACACAAACTAAGTTTCTATATACAAGATATAAGCAAATATCCAAATGTGATAACACGAACCTGCTTTCCTCTTTCGTGTTTTAACATCCACAACCACAGCCCTGTTCTTCTCTGTGAAATGCTTGAGGATGATCACATTGTGGGCCTCATTTGCATTATCCATATACACTGATTTGGTTCCCATGCATAAAACCTGTAGAATTAGAAAGAGACATTCAGATGACATTTGTTCAGTTAATGTAGATTATAGCTAGATTTGCTCTCTATCCAAGCAAGCTACAAGTAAAACTATGATTTACTGGACAATTTGAGGGAGGGATTAGCCATTATAATCTAAATTTACATCATTTGTATCTATTTATGATACTGGCATAATTACATACACATGTAAATTGACACAAATTATAGTCCATCAATTTATGTGATTCATCTGGACTACTGATATTTGGCCTGTTATTCTGAAAGAATGCCTGAATATAACTTTTGTCTATTGCATCTAAAGTCCTCTAAACTGAAGTCAATCAAGTTTTCACTGCCAGCCTTGGCTGCATTTTTACTTGCAGCTTCAGAAAGTGGCCTAGAAAAGCGTGTGCCTTAATATGCTCACCTCTGGAAAGCCAACAAGTACCAGTAACGTGAAAATGTTGGTATGTTTCAACTGAAAGGGAAGCTGCTTGATGCAGTGGTCTGTGAAGGCAGCAATCACATCATGCCACTGAGCGGAGGAGTTCAGCGCTCGCAGAATATCTGCCATGGTGCAAGCCCAGTCCAATCCGACACGACTAGAAACCAAGAGTTAGAATTAATTATCTTCACATGTGCTCCTGAACGTGCCTGCCTTACGGCAGCATTGCTTCAAAAACTGAAAGCAGCCAATGTCTATTTTGCTTCACTTGTAATCCCCATTGAAACAGGCTGCCTTCTCTTGGGGTAGATCCTGCCAACTAGGAGGGACGTTCCTTGCAGAACTTACTGTTTCCCCCATGGATTGTAATGAGCTGCAGAAAATGACTTGGAAGGTAGCAAGTGGCCTTCAGGCAATGATTTTGAGATCTTTGCTCTAGGCGGGACAGTCTTCCAAAGTTTAAAAATTAGCTTACTTTCAAACAAGCTACAAATACAGGATTATCTTCAGCATTTCCTATTTCTCTCTTTCTTCCCTTAAAAAAAGGTTTACATTAGTACTACTGGTAGCAATAGCACTTAGACTTATATACCGCTTCACAGTGCTTTACAGCCCTCTCTAAGCGGTTTACAGAGTCAGCATATTGCCCCCAATAATCTGGGTCCTCATTTTACTGGCCTTGAAAGGATGGATGGCTGAGTCAACCTTGAGCTGGTGAGACTTGAACTGCTGGCAGTAGGCAGTTAGCAGAATTAGCCTCCAATACTGCATTCTAACCACTGCACCACCACGGCTCTTACTGATTCCTTGTGAGCCTCAATTTTGTTTTTTTACTGAAGGCGGTATTAAGTTTTGGGTTTTTTGGAGCAGTAGCAGTGCTTGCAAACATTTTTGACAACCTGGCATTCCATGACAAGTTTATAATAGAAAGGGTCAACTGAACATATTAAAGCTTTTGAGATTAAGCTGTCATGAAAACTGACCTGTCCAGGCACACTGCTCCCAGACTGAAGAGGAGATGGGTTGTTTTCCAGCCTTCTGGCACTATGGAGCCATCACCAGCAGCCACAAGGCTATGCTTGGTGGAGAGGACATTGTTCACAGCAGCATCCACTTCTGCAGGACTCAGTCTTCGAATCAACTGTCCCAGGAGCCCCAAGGTTAAGTGGTAAGTTTCATTTAAATGGCCAGCATTGGAGATCACAACATCAAACATGAGAGGAAGGATCTGGTCCAAGTTAATCAGAGACATGGTTAAGCCCTACAAAGAGAGAACAGGGAAGAATATGGAAATCAGCAGAGGGGGTGACACAACATACTTTATTTTAATTAACATACTTCAAAGGTTCAGTTTTTCAAAGATAGATAATTTGCAGTTTTGTTTTTGAACCAACAACAGGTCTACTGGATATCAAACAGTGGATTCTAAATCGAATGCTGACAAAGAGCAAACTATACTCATTCTGCTTAGCTTCATCAAATCCAATTGGGTACATAGATGAATTATTCAACTGAGCATGTAGTAACTATTAGAAACTCAACTCATTTTTACCAAATAGTATGTAATGTAGCAAAGTAGGAAATGTAAGAAAAAATCTATTATCTACCCAGTATCTGTTCTCAATTAAAAGGTGTCAATTTAGATAAGTGAGAAAAGTTTGAAACAGTCTCAAGTTTTTTTCACTGCTTTTTCTAATACTTTTGCAGGAAAGAAAAAGAAATGACTACAAGAAGTAAGCAAGGCAAGGGAACTGGCAACATTCCTCTTCTGGAAGAGGATTTGGGATAGAATCACTGGACATGTGTGTCTGCAGAAGTTGTTTCTGCCAGAATGATGAAACAAGCATCAGAATTCCAAGATGGTGGGCTCATTAGAGAGGAAGTAGAACTTTCTACAGGAGGAATGCTGTCGTAGTTTCCCATTTTCATAATCATGGTGATTATTCATAGACTAGTATCAAGAATCTAAGCCCAAAGAACAATTTATCCTTCGGGGACAGCTTGGGGTGGAAAGAACAAATTCAAGGGATGTTCTGAGTAGGGACTACATAATTTCAGTGTTATGTACAAAATCCAAATGAAAAACTGGGATCAGTAAAACAAAGATTAACCAGTCATTTCTTTCCATTTTTTCTTGACTTCAAATAAATACAGGTAGTCCTCAACTTACAACTATTCACCTAATGACCATTCAAAGGTACAATGGCAATGAAAAAAGTGACTCATGACTGTTTTGCACACTTATGACCATTGCAGCAGCATCATGGTCATGCGATCAAAATTCAGATGTTTGGCAAGTGGCTCATATTTACGACCTTTGTAGTATCCTGGGTGTCAACTTTAGAATGAGCATGGTTGCAGCCATCTTTTTCCTTCTCATTCCTAGTTGCCACATAGCACGGAGGGAGGGGGTTTGCCAGGTGTTGCGCTAGACCAGGGGTAGGCAACCATGACTCTTTTATGACTCGTGGACTTCAACTCCCAGAATTCCTGAGTCAGTATGGCTGAGCTTGGAAACCTCTCCCTTTCCCTTAGCATGGCTGGCTCAGGAATTCTGGGAGTTGAAGTCCACGAGTCATAAAAGAGCCAAGGTTGCCTACCCCTGCACTAGACAAAACAGACTTTCTCTCTTGGACTTTCTCTCATGGAAACCAAGGTCATCGGCTGCTCCCGAGATTGCAGGCTGGGCGTTTCATGAAAAGCCCGCCAACAAGCTGAGTGGGGAAATGTAGTTGCTTGCATAGCTTTGGCGGAGGGATTTCTTAACTTTGTATTGGGGAATTTTTATGCATCTCTTCATACTTGGTTTCACTTTTGAGGTACCGATACTCTGTTCTTTGAGGAATTTGCAAGCCTCGGAGTTCTGCTTTATTTGTCTCTGTCAATCAGAATCTTGACACTGGGATCATCTGATCCTCCCTTTGGTGATCTTCTGACCAGCAAAGTCAATGGGGAAGCCAGATTTAACAACTGTGTGACTAACCTAACAACTGCAGCGATTCGCTTAACAACTATGGCAAGAAAGTCGTAAAATGGGGTAAAACTCATTTAGCAACTACCTCACCTAGCAACAGAAATTTTGGGCTCAATTGTGGCTGTAAGTCAAGGACTACCTGTCTACAAATGATAGTGCCAGGTTGATGGTGACTAAGCACAGCATTAATTTACTTTTTTCATCAGCACTTATTTTATTGTATATTAATTCATGTATTTCTAATTTGTAATCAGCTCCAATTTTCCAGTTTTTCCCATATACGGCTATCATGGACCTAATTGTCTGTTTGAATTATAGTTATTATCATAAGAGGGAGCTCTTGAATTTTTTTTTACCACAGTGGCTTTAAACCATGTTTTACAGTAATTACAGTATTTTTACTATATTTGGACTGTGCTGTAAAAACTCAAAATGACCTGTGGCTACAAAAAAGACAAAGACAATTTTAGACTGCATCAAAGGAATATGATTTTCAAATTGCAGGAAACAATCTTTGTGCCCTATTCTGTACTCTACTTTAACTACTATGTCTTTTAAGAAGAATTTGAAGAAACTAGAATAGGTTCAGAGAAGAACAATGACCAGGGGACCAGAAGCTAAGATTTATAAAGTGAGAATAAAGAAGCTAGTCATGTTTAGTCTTCAGAACCTACAATTAAGGAGAATGTAATTGCACTCTTCAAATATTTGCTTACGTTATTAGTTGCATTTTAATACTGCTATCTCCCAAGACTGAAAGGAAGTCACACAAATGAAGATCAAGACCTCTCTCATTCCAAAGCATAGGATGTGAAATAATAAAGTTACAGGAAAATGGATTCCAACTGAATGCTAGAATAACTTTCCAACAGTAACAGCAATTTGCCAGTGGAACTAGAGCTAATGGATTCCATTTCATTGCTTAAGCAAATATATATAGATTCCTGAATTGAGGAAGGGATTGAATGTGATGTCCTAAGTAGCTCCTTCCTACTCTCAAATTCTTTGATGAAACCACTAATGATTCATATGATCTTCTGGACGGATTGTCCTTTTCTTTCTTCCTTAATTATCTGGCACTTAAACTCCTTCACTGTTTTCCCTAATTTGGATAATTCCTTACGGATTTCAGGCGAGGCAACATTGCAGCTAGTAGCCCGAGAATCCTCTTCTGGGAACATTCAGCAAATATTTCCGCTTGATCAGGCATTGCTTTTTCTTCAGCTTGGTGCGGAGGCAAAACATCAGAAACTTCAACATCTGTAAACCAAGAAACGAAAATGCTTCCTCAAATTATGCTTACTGTTGAAAATATTAGTAATATTACAATCACTGCAGATTTACAATGCATCAATTCAATCTTCATAATGATGCACATTTCCTCATCATATATAGTATAGTAAAATATTCCCAAATGAATATTATTTCCATGTTTATATAGGTAATCCTTGGTGAATAATGTTGAAACTGGCAACTCTGTCGATAAACAACACATTGTTTATCGACAGCACAAGTATACATAACCCGAACTAGACTGTTGTTTCTCTGTGTCATATATGTGGGTATATGCAAGGTTTGTTTTTCTCGCCATGCACATTTATACATAACCTGAACTAGATTGTTGTTTCTCTGTGTCATATAATATATGTGGGTATATGCATAATTCTGTATTTATTTATTTTTCATATTTATGTAGTGTATATATGAGGTGGTGACCCTTTGAAGAGCTGTATGCAATGAAATTTCATTTTAATGTATGCCAATGAGTGTACATTTAAAGTGACAATAAAGTTATTATTCTATTCTATTCTATTCTATTCTATTCTATTCTATTCTATTCTATTCTATTCTATTCTATTCATGTATGTGACCGTGCCAACTTAAATGGCACTTCCAGTTACCATCGTTAAGCAAATCCTGTGCAATCATTAAGCATGATGTCACATGATTGCCATTTGTGATTTCTTGCTGGCTTCCCCACTGACTTTGCTTGTTAGAAGCCAGCAGGGAAAGTCGCAAATGGCGATCACGTGACTGCAGGATGTTGTGGCCATAATTGAGAGTCAATTGCTAAATGCTCAAATTGCAATTATGTGACTGCAGAGATGCTGTGCAGTCTCCTTATTCAGCAGTACTGTAACATCGAACTATCACTAAACAAGTAATCATTAACTGAGGACTATCTGTACATGGACTGGTAGAGAGAGAGATATAGCATGCTAGGAATTCATGTATCTACCTCTGGAAGGCTGATGATCATTTTTGGCATTACCAGGATACAGCATTACACATGTATTATACTAATAAGGTTTTTGAAAAAATCATAGCAATTTTCTGATTGTATGATGGACACCTACACTAGCGTTAATTTTCAAAATGTCCTTGTGTATGCAGTTAGGCTCAATGTTACCGATTTTCTAAGCCACGAATGAGAAATGAGTGAGCCTGTGTTGAAGTTAATAAGGTGTCTCATCTAACCTCAGTTACGGAATCTCACTGAGTAACTTTAGGCCAATTACTCTCTCAGCCCAACTTATGTCACAGGGGTTTTGTTGTACGAAAAAGTAAGTTTTTCTACTGTGGTAACATACAAAACATTAAAATACTAAACCAGGGACCCTTTAAATACTGCTAACTACAAAATACAGCATTCTCTTAACTTTCTCTTACATGTGTCTTCACTTTCAACTTGCAGTATTAAATATGGATTGCTCTAAAATTCTATTTAAAATTTCATATATTTGCTTGCTAACAATCATTCATTCTTCCTTATTTATGTTTGACTGTTTCTGTACATTCTTTGCAACTAGCTGTGTTACTATGGGTCTGCCCCTAATAGCAATAATTATTAATTTTGAAATTGCCTAAAATTTTCTAAAAACTGACTAGTTAGGGTCAGTTTTTTTAAAAAATATTAGGCAATTTAGAAATTAACAATAATGTATTGCTGTTAGTAGACCAATAGTAATACAGTTGGTTGCAAAGAATGTACATAAAGAAGTAAGAAAAAAGAAACCGAACAGCAACTGCTTTTTTATATATAAAGGAGCTAAAAAGTAATATTTACCTGAGGATATGCTCTCTTTTGCAAGTAAGTCTGAATTAAAAGCAAGTGTCTGTTTCTCCTGTGATACCATTTCTTTCTTTGGTGGAAGACCATTGGAAAGTTTGTTCTCAATTTTCATTTTACTCTCTTGTTTTTTATTTACTGAAGTCTGAATTTCAGTAGTGCTTCCATCTCCCTAAGTAAAAATAACAGATTAACTTCAAAATGTATTTTTAAGCAGTTAGTGACTTTAAGGAAGTGTTTTTAATTTTAGCCATTTTATTTGCAATCGAGTTTAACAGCACTGCTCCAATAGAATAACTTACCATAAACCAGTGTAAAATTCTAATGCTCTTGTTGAGCAATAAAGGGGATCATTCCCAATATCTGAACTAACTTCCCCGAGTTAGAGCTCTCTAGATATGCGGGGTTTGTAATTCCGAGTTAGCAAAGTCATCAGATTTGGGAACTGCAGCACATCTTGAGTGCTCAGTGTTAAAGAAGGCTGTTTTAAACGAACACTTAACCTCCTAGGTCTCCAAAGGGAGAGTGTCAACTGCAGCTTATTCAGAAACTGACTATGAACACAAGAGATAAGAGCTACAGAGGCTCAAGGTTCAGCCCCAAGAATATTTAGAACCTCTTCAATTTGATGTAACTGAGGTCATAACAAGATCTTGCCTAAGACCAGCTGAACCAATAATCCTGGAATTCATTCACCTTCCTCTATAGGATACAGCTTGACCTGCTTACTCGTCTAGTGGTTAAGTAACTAGGCTAGAAAACAGGACACTGCAAGTTCTAGTCCCACCTAAGGCATGAAAGCCAACTGGTGACTTTGGGCCAGTCACTCTCTCTCAGCCCCATCTACCACGCAGGGTTGTTGTAGAGGAAAAATAGAAGGAAGAAAGAGTATTAAGTATGTTCTCTGCCTTGAGTTATTTATAAAAACAGGATAAAAAAACTAAAATAAATTCATTTAGAATCCATCTCCCCTCTGTTGAGTGTATAACAGATACTCACATATTTGCATATGTCTCTTTAATATAAGGCTCTGCATTTATAAGCAAATTAAACTACTCAATATATGTGTGTTTTCAAAAAAAAAATATTTACATTGCTATGGATGACAGATTTTGGCATCTTGTTATTTTCCACGATTTCCTTACTGGCATCGTTTTCTACATGGCTCTCTGTGCAAGAGTCAACGGAGGGCACCCCATTTTCAGACGAAGGTTCTTCTGGCAACATACTAAGCAGAGTTTGGCTTTTCAGACCTGCAGGCGAAGAAAGAAAGTTTAGATGTTCAAGACAGGATAAAAACAGTCTGAATTCAGAATTCACCCCAATCAATGAATTTCAGAAAGACAGGATACATCATGGAATGAGTTTCACCACATATCTATTGAATCCTTCCCCTTCCTTGTGTGACTGTTCTGTTCTGTTCAAGCTGCCAGGAAAGGGACAAAATGGGGATTCCTTTATCCAGCCATCCTGGACAACTTCTACCTCATCTAGAGTTACTTCCGAGGATCCAGGATGAAGTGGACCTGGGCCAGGAACAGCATTGCTTACTGTGTGGATGGCCTGCACAAAATGTGGATGGTGGGAGGGAACACAGCCCTCCTCATCCTGCTTTATTTTCAGTAGCCTTAAATATCGTTGCTCATGATATCTGGACCATCAGTGAGGTCATCCTGAATTTTCTTGGCAAATTCTTGCTGCAAATTTGGGAAAAATGAACTTAGTACAAAGAGAATTTTACAACCAGAAATGCTGCTAACAAAGATGGAAGGTCAATCATCACTAGTAGCAACTGAACTTTTCTTGAGGCAAGACAAGCATCCGAGAGTTACAGGTACCACAATAATGGCAAGAGTAGTCAAAACATCTTGGTTCATACAAAGGAAAAGATGAGCTCTCCTTTGTTCCACAGAGAAACCTCAGAAGGTAACATGTTCATCAATCTATCCCTGTGGAGTAATTTGAAAGTATCTGTGTGCAGAGCATAAATTCCCAATTCCTACTATTTTTGTTATATGACTAAGTTTAAGAGAAACAGCTTAAGGAATCAATTATACAGACTGCAATGGCTATTCAGGAGGGACTCAGTCCAGATAAGGTTGATCTGGTTCCAACGCTAGAAGAGGATATCTGATGAATAGATTTTTTGGTGGACAAAAATCCTTCATGTTGGTGGACTCTTATGTCCGCCAAAGCTATGCCAGGACAGGAATGTTAAATACTTGTATTCAAATAGCCAGCATGTCTGTCAGCCTTTCAAGGTAGTCCAGACAGGAAACCATGAGTTCTAACACTGCCTTTATTGTAAGGTTACAGTAACTGAACCTTGCAAGTCTGAAAACACATCAGTCCCCCCTTTCTTTTATTTTCCAAGCAACTAGAGAGAGTCCCTTCTGAGATGCTTTCCCCTGAGACGTCTCATATCTCACTTTTTGCTCTGGCTGCGGTTCTTCCTCCTCCCGTTTCTCAAGGTTATCCCCATAGACTGTGACAACATCTCCGCTCACCTTTGCCATGCTGCACTTTCATCAGGCAATCTCCAATCAGCTGAACACATTCTTGCTGTAGGATTTTAGCATGAGCGATGATTTCTGGACTGAGTTCTTCCCCATCTGCTTGTTTGCCACAAGTCAAGTCAGCGCTGTAGAGAGCCAAGGCAGAAAAAAGGAGCCAGGAATAGTTGTGAAGATAAGGCTGGATGAGCCTATGGCAGTCGCTGATCCTAAAGGTCATCATTGGATACACAGTGATGCTATGGGTAGGCAGGTGGCTAAAACGACAAAAGGGTTATAAAAGCTGGTTGATATGATCATTAATAACAACAAGATATTTTTTCCCCTGCACTTTGTTCAGATATATCTGAAGCCTACTGTTTGCGACAGTGAAGAATGAAACACCGATGGTTCAATCGTGTGACCCACTTCATGGCAAGGCACCAGCTACCACCCAGTCTGTACCACCCAGCTGAAAATCAATGATTTTATAGATACTAGGTTTTTGCTTAAACAGAAGCAGCTCTTCTTATACATATACCAAATATTGGGAACAATGTCAAAGACTATAGTAAAAATTGATAGAAATTATGCAAATAAGATCAGGATACACTGGAAGCAGAGATGAATCAATAGATTTTCAATACTGCAGTACAGGTAGTCCAATGGCCCTCTGTCATGTGACTGAACTTCAGGCTCTTGGCAACTGAGCTGCATTTATGGCTGTTTGCGGCATTTTATGATGGTTTTGCCAAAAATTGAAATTTGCTTGGTTCATTTATTGACCGCAGCAAAAAAAGGTTATAAAATTGGGTTTGTCATGTGACCAACACGCTTTATGACCATCACATCTTACAACTTGATGGGCAAGCTCCATTATGGTCATAGGTTGAGGACTATCAATATAGAAAACCTTTGCTTATAGGGGAAGATAGTAAAGCAAAGCAGAATGGAATAACCAAAGTGGTTTTCTAAGAAATTAAATCTTTTCAATTATCCCGTTTTGTTCCTTTCATCCTCCCCCAGCCATCTTTCTTCATATAGCAAAGACAGTGTAAATACATAGAGAAATGACACCCAAATATGACCAAGTGATAGGCTGGCTTTTAGTAGCTGCTGATGGGCTAGTACCTGTCAGAGTATTTCTTTGCAGAGTAGCATCCATAGCAAAGGTCAAAATCTTCACACACATTGCAGTTAATGCGCTGGCCAACAATAATCCCTTGGCAGTGATTGCACGCATACTCCATGTTAATCATGTCATGACTGGCCTCGTGACCTTCAGGTCTCACCCCACCTTTTAGTAGGCAAATGCAAAACACATCATTCCATCATTCACATGCTGCATTGTTGTCCTGCAGGTCATTCTGCACTGGTGGCTGGGGAATTATGGGACTTGAAGTCCAAACATCTTAAAGTTGCAAAGTTTATAAAACACTGATCTAAAGCCTCAAAGACACACATCCAAAATTGTCATGTAACTGGGGGCCAGTAGATGCATTGCCCTGCTACCTGTTTTTCCCCTACTGAAGAAGCTAAGAAACTGCGCCATGAAATAACTGCTCTGCTTGCTGTATAAATATCATTCCACAAGAAGCTGATATATTACTCCAGAGAAATGTTAATAGTTAAGAAATCAGCAGATTGTTTTAAGTTTATTTCAGAGAATCATATAACGAACTGGCCGTGAGACTAAATCATAATTAGCATTGTATTATTGAATAGTTTTATTTAAAACGTTTCCATTTTTTTCAAGGTAATGGTGAGATGTGTGTATAGATAAATAGCAATAAACACTTGATTTAATAAACCCTCAGTTCAGTAGACTTCAGCTGCAACAAACAAAATTTAACCTTATGTACATAATTAAAAAAAGAAAGCTATTGGGTAACTATGAGGTCTAGGCTTCCTGTAGGCATGAAAGCTAAGTGATTTGGGGCCAGTTATTCTTTCTCAAGGTTGTTGCAGTGAGGAAAATAGGAGGCCTAAGCATTAAATATGAGTTATATATAAAAAGGTGAGATAAAAATCTAAAAAGAAAATAACTCTTAACAACACCACCCCTGGCAGCAAACAACTGTAAGGACAATTAGACATTTCCTAGTTACACAATCCTACATTTGCTAGTTGGAACGGTTTGAAATATCCATTCTCCACCTACTATAATCATCTGTATGGTTTACATCTAGAAGAGCAGCTGCCTATGACATCAAATCACTGTCAGTATTGCTACAGAAATTCAAAAAAGCCCACTTAGATTTAATGGATGTAGACATTTGGTTTCAACAAATATCCTTCCACACTTTGTTAAATTGTGGAGTTACTTTGTGAATATATTTGTCTAAGTGTGCATGTATGTGTGTGGGTGTATACACCCGCATGCCCCCCCCCAACTGACTCTCAGTATAACAGTGGAAGTTGAACTACAGCTCCATTATGGGAAATCAAGCCTATGATACAGTTTCCATCTATGTACCTTACCCAGAAAGCATGTTTTACACAGATCCATATCATTGCATTGCAAACAGCGGTAACGATGCCACGGAGCAATCTCATCACATCCATCGCATGATATATCCACATGTAACAGGTCACAGTAGCGGGCAATGAACATGTGCATCTAGAAAGAAAGAGTGATAAAACGCTGATGAACAATAAATAACAAAATGGCTAGGGATAGTGGGGGTGTTGTGCTATTTTCCCACCTAGTGAAAACTGGAGAAAAGCACAGGAGCAATCAGATGGAAATGGGAATCCAAGAAGGATGGCATCTTCCAAAACCTGGAAGTAATTTCACTGACAGAGTTGGTTTGAATTTCAAAGGGAAGAAATACATATTATATTTTGTCTGTGTTTTGAATAATTCTATAATAGCTTAACTAATCTCTTTGAAGCTCAACTGAGGCTTGGATACGGAAGGTTCCCAAAGCCACAACAGTAGTCCTCAACATATGATGGTCACTTAGGGACTGTCTGAAGTTACAACAGACCCTCCTCCAAAAACCTACAACCTGGTTTTGAAATTTTGACTACCTCCGTTGTGCTTTGAGCACCTGGCAATAGGTCTGTATTTATGGCTGTTTGCAACATCCTGCAATCACACAACCATGATTTATGTTTCTGCCAGAACCGCAGTTTATGTTTCTGCTGTAAACTGGCATTTACGTCTGGTTTCCAGCAAAAACTGGTCCAGAGCGCCCCCCCCCCAATGGGTTTGCTTAACAACAACTAAGATGGTAAAATTGGCCATGTGATGACTCACTTTATAACTGTTACAACTTATGACCCTAATTGCCAGGCTATTACAGTCATAAGTCGAGGATTAACTGTTCAGATATTACTGAACAGACTCTTCCAGTCCTACTGCTGTCCAAAAGATTTAACATATGTAAGCTACAGCACATCACTCTGTTTTAAAAACGTTTTTATCTGAAAAAAAAAACCCATGTTAACATTTTTATCCTTATGACCTTTCTCTGCTTATCAGGGCTTGCTTGGCTTATCTTGTCACACCAGGTTTCAAAAACTCCTTCCTGGCATTCATCCATCCACTCTGAGTTTTGCTTGTAGTCTACAATTTCTTCTTCTTTGTTGCATTGGCTGAGAACAAAGCATTACATTAAAAACTCATTTAGAACAATGACAAAGCCAGAAAGACCATCTCCAACAAATTTGCATAAGCAAAACTAAAAGAAAGAAGCTGCAGTTTCTGGTTCAGTAATCAGCATTCTCTGTGTTGCTGCTTTTGAAATGTAATGATCTTAGCCTTTAGCATTTTTAGCTAGCATGACCTTTGGGTAGGAAATATATACTGTAGTAACTGAAGTGCAACGTTAACAGCAGGAAATCCAGTTGCAGAGAGAGATTTTTAAAAAAATGTAAGTACAGCTTTAACATATGACAGACAGAAATGTCATCTTAAAATATGCTCTTCATCTTCTCTCTCACAAAAGATGAAATACCTTTAAGATAATATTAACAGAAAACCTAAATATCCAGGCAGAATAGTCTTACCTGCTTCACAATTATTGCTTCACCTTCAATAAAAATATATAATTAAGTATTATCAGTAGAACTTCAATTGCAGCATCCCATATTTAATTAGAAGAGGCACAGTGGCTCAGTGGCTTAAAAGACAGCAGAGAAGGTCTACACTCCAGAGGTTCAAGTCCTACCACCGTGTGATAGAGTGAGCTCCTGTCACTTGCCTCAACTGCTAACCTAGCAGTTTGAAAGCATGTAAACACAAGGAGATAAACAGATACCACTTCAGTGGGAAAGTAATAGCGTTCTGTGTTTGGCCATATGCTTCGTGCTGTGACATGATGTCATGCTGGCCATATGACTATGGAAATGTCTTTGGCCGGCGCTGGTTCAATCAGTTAAAGAAACGGAGATGAGCACCGCCTCCTAAAATCGGCTACGACTAGCAGAATAAAACCCGCAAGGACACCTTCACCTTTTTATATCTAATTAGCAAGAGAAAGAGACAACAGGGGAGAGCAATTGTAGTGGGGGTTTTTTTTCAGCCTAACACTTCCAATCTGTTGGGGCTCAACATTCACAATCATTACTTAGTATGAGCTCGTTTCATGGTTCTGTCCTATTAAGTAAGAGCCCTATTTGCTTCTGTACGCCACTGGAAATGAATGACCTATTAGATGTAAATATAATTACCGGTATATCTGGTAAAAATAATAGTGAAGATGCTCCCAAGCCATCGTAAGTTTTTGACTGCGTCGTAAGTTTTTTTTCTTGACAGTGTTTTAAGAAAGTAATTTGCCCCTACTTATGGAACATTATTTTTAATTTCCCAGTTTTTAAATTTCCCCCAGTTTAAACTTTTATTCCTTTTCAAGAAAAACAAGGGCCAACTTTGCCTAATGCTCAAAACCAACTAAAGTTAGGATTAGACTTGTGCTTCACTGCATGTGAGGTAATGTATACATATGTAGTTGGAAGATGGTTGCATTGCTGTTGCATTTAAATGTTTGCAAATGTTAACCTCCTGGCTGGGGGGGGGGGCACCCAAACAACAAAGCATAGAAAATATAGTCTTATTAACCAATTACCATGCACATCTTTGCACAACATGTAGTTGAGATTTGGGAGGTGTGCGTGTCAACTCATCTGCAGCTATCTGCAACTTATGCACACCCATCAACCCATCTGCAGTGTAGGTATGCATTGATGCCTGCGTGCAGTTGAAGACAAATCTAAATCAAGCTTTAAGCAACAACTACATTATTCTAAATAAAAAACAAAACAAAACCTAAGGCTATAATTCTATTCCCTCTTTGCAGAAAGTGACTAATAGTGAAGTCATAATTTTCACAATATTAGCACGTTCTATATATACCGGTAGTCGTTTAAAGATTTTTACTACCTTTTTAATAACATTTTATTGATTTTCTAATTTTACAATTATTTAAAAAGCAACGTGGTGACTGGGTTAATCAATAGTTCAATAACATACGTAAGTCTTTAGTATAAATCTCAAATTACAACATCAGATATTTCCTCTCTTTTTCCCTTAATATCTACTATCTCATATTAGGCTAATACAGTTATTATTATTATTACGGTATCAACTAAGTAAAAACATCTTTGTTACATTTATCGATCATTTTTAGCTTATACATATTTTAATTGTATTTGGATTCAATCCTTATATACAATCAATGTCCTGTTATTGCTTTTTCCCCAAGCTTTAATTTCCCATCAATATTCAAATTAACATTTGGTATTTATAATGAATACCTTTTTAATGAACAGCCTTCAAAGCGGTTGTGGAAAATATCCGTGTACAAAAGATATTCTTAAATTATTTCACTGACTTCTCTTTTTAATATCACATGTTTTTCTGACTTACCAAATTATCTTGTCATGTGTACTTATGTTCTCTTGTGACATGGTGAGGAGGAGACGTGGCAGTTGAATATCAATGAAGAAGGAAAGATCGTTTGCCTCCCAGCCCATATCCAAAAAGTGAAGGAGACATGTCTGCACACAGGACAAGGCAGGCAGTAATGATCTAAACAAATAATAATCTAATGAAATTGAGTGCTGCTATTCAAGGCATCCTGCTTATATAATATATAATTTAACTACCAGGAAGATTGTGTAATAGCTGCCAACTAAGATGACTTTACATGGCAATCAGACACATTAATCAAGGAGAAGAACCTAAATTTTGGAGCATAGGAACAGCCAGAAGCTGGCAGGCGAACATTATGAAAACTATTCTGTTTTTCCAACTAACCAGATGTACGAAAATGGGACTCTTTCACTTGTCAAATGGAGCGACGTTTATGATTTGGTTGATAATAGCCTCTTCCCATTTAGTGTCATCTAGTTATATTCAGAATACAGCTTTCATTCTTCCTATGCCAAGGTAATGATAACTCGCCATCTCCATTAGTGGAACAGTTGTACTCAGTTATATCAGTAAGGGTATACTAAAAATGAAATGTCACCTAATGGCTATTAACATTAAAAATTCCTGAATCTTACTCCACATATTGATACATTTCTAACAATAAATTGAAATCCAACACAGAAACAAATAAGAGACCATTGCATGGAAGTCAGCAAACTTTTACACACTTATATTGACTATAACCACTCATTCTGCCTAAGGTTTGATTAGTCAAATTTAATGTGAAATGAAAATGTGCCACTGTCTGTCTGAAATGTACCAGGTTTGGTTTTAGTTTAATAGCTTTTTATTTCTTCAGAAAGATAAAACAAGACTTGCTTATCTCTTTCAGTCTGTGTAATTCTTAGCATCACTAAATTAATATAATTATTAAATATATCACTAAATCAGCTGTATATGATATATAAACTGATCTAGATGTTAACTGAATTGTGGGAAAACCAAACTTCCCTTAGTTAAGACCTACTGTTATCCTGGCAATGTAGGTTTTTAAAAAGGACACTGAATTTTCAGGATCTCCCTTTTTAGAAGAAAGTTTAATTTGAGAGACCAAGAAAGTCCAGCTAATTTTTGTATAACTCACTGACTGGAATAATAGTTTCTATGAATAACATAATCAAGACATATAGATGTCTATCCCTGTGAATCAGCAGACTGACATTAACTCAAACATTTTTTTTCAGAGAAAACAGCATTCAACCTAGCAAAATCTGAATATAACAATGAAATAATCTCAGCGAAACGGATCCCTTCCTTCTCATCCACTACAAACAATACATGGTGATTATTTATAATATTTTTATGGTATTCATTCCTGGTAACTCTGAGAGGCTAACAATCAGATACACCAATAAAATCCATATAAAAATAATATCTCAAATGTTTCAGAAAAATATATGTATGTATGTATACAAAATGAGCAAATAACAGTTTATAAACTCTCCATCATAGAAGGACCATTGGCTACCAAGAAGATCCATTACCAAGATAAGCAATAAGATTAAAGAGTAATTTAGCATGCTTTATGAATAAGGCTCATACTTGTCACTGTAGTTGTTAAATCCTTTCAAAGCATTGACCAAGAAGTGAAGCAGCTGGTAGAAAGATTCCCGAATTTCTCGGTGTAATTCAGCTCCACACCCTTCTAAGTGTCCAAAATAGCTGGAAACAAGCAAAAAAAAAACAACCCCAACAACATAAGGCTGGCTGATGAACTACATCATAAATCCTTCACTGATATCTACTTTACATCTATATATATATATGGGATGTGGGGATAGGACATTCCATGGATAAGTGGACATTCCAAAACACACGTCCAATTATTTATGGTCTAAGTCAGTGATGGTGAACCTTTTAGAGGCCCAGTGCCTAAACTGCAACCCAAAACCCACTTATTTATCACCGGGTGCCGGGTGGGCGTGGCCGCGGTGGTCATGGCAGACTGGGTGGGCGGGGCCAGGGCGGCAGGGGCCAGTCCCTCGCCATCTCCGGGGCACACCACGCGTGCCCACAGAGAGGGCTCTGAGTGCCGCCTCTGGCACACGTGTCATAGGTTCGCCACCACTGGTCTAAGTTGATCAAATGTCAGGGAAATGGTTTTCATCATGTCTTACTTTGTGAAGTCTTTCTGGCAAGCTAAAAGTTCCAGCAGGAAAATGATGCAAGGTGGAACAAAACAGTGAGGTTGGCCGAGGGATTTTAGGCACTGGAGGATCATCTTTAGCACTTCCAAAATATTTTTGGCTTGAGTCTTCCTCAAAGCAAGGACTTTCACGACACTGGGGATAAAACACAAATCCAAATGAGATGACAGAATATCACCACCATCATAATTATTTATTTATTTATTTATTTATTTATTTATTTATTTATTTATTTATTTAACAGGATTTATATGCCGCCCTTCTCCCCATGGGACTCAGGGCGGCTCACAGCGTATTAAAACATCATACAAAAAATTTCCCCTACTAAAAACCAATTAAAACCCAAATATTGGTAGCTGTGGCTCTTTAAAATCGTTAAAAATTGTCCCTATTTNAGGTTAAGAGATCCGGAATCGTCCGGATCTCGGGGGGTAGTTCGTTCCAGAGGGTGGGGGCACCCACAGAGAAGGCCCTCCCCCTGGGGGTCGCCAGCCGACATTGCTTGGCCGACGGCACCCTGAGGAGGCCCGCTCTGTGGGAGCGTACCGGCCTGTGGGAGGGAGTCTGCGGCAGAAGGCGGTCTCGGAGATAGCCTTAGGATAAGGTCCCCATGAAGTCATAGAGCAAAATGGACATTGCCAACCAATTTGGAGTACTTGGGTATGGTTAGGAGGGCACTTACTTTTCTAGGCTGCCTTATCTATATTTCCTTGTAAAATACATGGGAAAATGCCATTGGAGGAAAATTCCACTTAGGGTTAGGCTTAGGTCCCCATTAGGTCATATAGCAAAATGGAAATTGGCAAAAAATTGGGAGTACCTCAGTATGAATAGGAGAGCACTTACTTTTCAAGGCTTCCCTATCTATGTTTCCTGGTGAAATACATGGGGAAAATGCCATTGGAGAAAAATTCCACTTAGGGTTAGGGTTAGGTCACCATGAGGTCATTGAGCAAAATTGATATCGGCAACAAATTCGGAGTACCTGGGTACGGTTAGGAGGAAACTACATTTTGTAGGCTGCCTTCTCTATCTTTCCTAGTAAAATACATGGGAAAATCCCATTGAAGGAAAATTCCACTTAGGGTTAGGGTTAGGTACCCATGAAGTCATAGAGCAAAATGGACATTGCCAACCAATTCAGAGTGCTTGGGTATGGCTAGGAGGGCACTTACTTTTCTAGGCTGCCCTATGTATGTTTCCTGGTAAAATACATGGGAAAATCCAATTGGAGGAATAATCCACTTAGGGTTAGGGTTAGGTCCCCATGAAGTCATAGAGCAAAATGGACATTGACAACAAATTCGGAGTGCTTGGGTATGGTTAGGAGGGCACTTACTTTTCTACGCTGCCGTATCTATATTTCCTGGTAAAATACATGGGAAAATGCCATTGGAGGAAAATTCCACTTAGGGTTAGGGTTAGGTCCCCATGAAGTCATAGAGCAAAATGGACATTGCCAACCAATTCAGAGTGCTTGGGTATGGTTAGGAGAGCACTTACTTTTCTAGGCTGCCTATCTATATTTCCTGTTAAATACATGGGAAAATCCTATTGCTGGAAAATTCCACTTAGGGTTAGGGTTAGGACACTGTGAACTCATAGAGCAAAATAGACATCGCCAACAAATTTGGACTTCCTCGGTATGGTTAGGAGGGCACAAACCTTTCTAGGCTGCCCTATCTATGTTTCCTGGTAAAATACATAGGAAAATCAGATTGGAGGAAAATTCAACTTAGGGTTAGGATAAGGTCCCCATGAAGTCATAGAGCAAAATGGACATTGCCAACCAATTCGGAGTACTTGGGTATGGTTAGGAGGCCACTTACTTTTCTAGGCTGCCTTATCTATATTTCCTTGTAAAATACATGGGAAAATGCCATTGGAGGAAAATTCCACTTAGGGTTAGGCTTAGGTCCCCATGAGGTCATAGAGCAAAATGGAAATTGGCAAAAAATTGGGACTACCTCAGTATGAATAGGAGAGCACTTACTTTTCAAGGCTTCCCTATCTATGTTTCCTGGTAAAATACATGGGAAAATGCCATTGCAGAAAAATTCCACTTAGGGTTAGGGTTAGAACATTGCAAACTGATAGAGTAAAATGGACATCGCCAACATATTTGGAGTATCTCGGTATGGTTAGGAGGGCACAAACATTTCTAGGCTGCCCTATCTATGTTTCCAGGTAAAATACATAGGAAAATCAGATTGGAGGAAAATTCAACTTAGGGTTAAGGTTTAGTCACCTTGAAGTCATAGAGCAAAATGGACTTCGCCAACAAATTCGGAGTGCTTGGGTATGGTTAGGAGGGCACTTACTTTTATATGCTGCGCTATCTATATTTCCTGGTAAAATACATGGGAAAATCCCATTGGAGGAAAATTCCACTTACGGTTAGGGTTAGGTCACCATGAAGTCATAGAGCAAAATGGACATTGCCAACCAATTCGGAGTGCTTGGGTATGTTTAGGAGGGCACTTACTTTTCTAGGCTGCCCTATCTATGTTTCCTGGTAAAATATATGGGAAAATCCCATTGGAGGAAAATTCCACTTAGGGTTAGGGTTAGGTCACCATGAACTCGGAGAGCAAAATGGACATCACCATCAAATTCTGAGTGCTTGCGTATGGTTAGGAGGGCACTCACTTTTCTAGGGTGCCCTATCTATGTTTCCTGGTAAAATACATGGGGAAATCCCATTGGAGGAAAATTCCAATTAGGGTTAGTGTTAGGTCCCCATGAAGTCATAGAGCAAAATGGACATCGCCAACAAATTCAGAGTTCTTGGCTATGGTTAGGGGGAGAAAGAAAGCAAGAAAGCAAGAAAGCAAGAAAGCAAGAAAGAAAGAAAGAAAGAAAGAAAGAAAGAAAGAAAGAAAGAAAGAAAGAAAGAAAGAAAGAAAGAAAGAAAGAAAGAAAGATAGATCGTTTTCCCTGGATACTTGGGATGGGGCAACCTGGCACCATGGTTAAGCCCTAACCAACTACCAAGTGTACTGAATACCCATTGCAGTTTGGGTATTGAGTATATTGTACTAGGTTCCTTGCAGACTGGAGCAGTTCTATTAAAAATAGAAAGGGAGGATTTCCAAGTTTACAGATAAATATCCCATTCACAAAAGGTTTTTTCNTTGGAAGGGTTGAGTCTGAGTCTGTTCCTTCCCATCCAGACCCGTACGGCCTCCAGGCAACGGGCCATCACGTCAAGGGCATCGTTGGGGTGACCCGGGGTGGAGATGTACAGCTGAGTATCATCAGCGTACTGATGGAACTCCACCCCAAAGCCTCGAATGATCTCACCCAGCGGCTTCACATAAATATTGAACAATAATAATTAGATGTTGGATGCATCAGATTACATGGAACCAAATTCAGAATTAGTAGAATCTTGGCAGGGAAAAAGTTACAAGTCTTGCTCAAGTTGTGGATTAAACTTCAGATAAAACAGATAATGTCTTTCCTCCAAATTAGCATAGGATAGCATGGCATGAATTGCTGATCCTGGAGCACCTGAATGGTTGCCTTCCACTATCCTGTCAAGTCTCAAGTCCTGAGGAGCCAGTTAGAACCACTATCGTTTTCACAACAATGTTCTTTCCCTTGCATTATTGGAAACATAGCTTTCAGTTTGCTTGCCATACTTCAGAGATCAACACTAGCTAAAGCAATCAAAAGAAAATGCTATTTCTGTTGCCTTATGCAATTTCAAAGAGAAGTTCAAGCTCTATATTTGCTTTGTTCTGACATTAATTCAGGTTGTTGTTGAACTTTCAAAGTTAATTGCCTAATTTCTTTTCTGTAGAGTAATCCACTCTATATCTGCTCTAAAACTATAAACTGAAACAAGTATTCTCTTTACTAAAACAGGGACTATTTTGCTCTGTTTAAGTACTGAAATAACTATGAAAATATATTTCCTTGCATTTGCTCCATTCCTGTTTAATATCTGAGGTTTGTTTGCAGTTTTTCTTGACTATAACTTACAGGGTTAAACAACTTATCCACTCCTGGAACCCTAAAGCAGAAAATACTATCAGCCCTATACACAGATTTGCATCCAGGGGACAATGTGGCTTACCTTTCATGAGAAAGAGATTGATTTTTAATGAAATCCAAGATGTCTTTCAAGATGGGATATTTCTCCTTTATGCTGGGTGCAGGTTTAGATTCTTCCATTGAACGGAAGGAGAGGAGTCGTAGCCGTCCACGGCTGAATGGAGGCTTGCGGGTCGGGGTAGAAGGGGGGGACAAGGTTTCTTCTGGCTCTGAGTTTTTTTCCAGGGAACTATTTTGGGATGCTGAAGCCAGTTCCCTCTGTGGGGAATCGGGCACTTGTTTTTTCTTGAGTTCAGAGTTTTGACCTCCCTCAGGGAAAGGAAAACCAGTTGCTTCACAAGCAGGTGATAGATGTGAGGCTTGGAAATCTGCTTCTACTACAGAACTTGTCCTATGGCGTTTACCATTAAGGACTTGCCCAGGGTCCTCCAGATGATCAGAGTTAAGGCCTTCAGTCTTGGGCCGTACAGGCAAAAAATTCAGCAACAGAAGACTTTTCTGGATACACTGCTGTGCTACAATGGAAGGCAATATACGTTTTGTTAAGAATAGCACAAGCAACACTCTGCACCCCAGATTCTCAGACCATTCTTGAGGTTTTTATTTAGAAAACTGGAACACCCACCTTTGGAATACAGCATTTCCAAGTGAGTGAGTGAGTGAGTGAAGCAGACTATAAAAAAGCAATACAAATTTCACACAAATTAAAGTAGCTATTACTGTAGAATAATGCCTTGGGTTCTTCTGCAAATCTCAGGGTTAGCCTTAAGCACATCAGTGCACTATTTTGTCAATCCAGGCAATGGCAAACTGAGGCTGGTTGTTGCAATTCAAACACAGTCCCAGTTGGTAACAAGACCCTGAGACTACTGGGAGACAGAAAAGCCAGTCATCAAATGTGTCAGGCATTTCTAGAAAAGCAGAAGGTCTTAGCAATCTTCTGTGGCTGTAGCATGCTTCCTTACTGGCCTAAGAGGAACGTAACTAAACTGAAATCTTTTTACTTGCTAATGAACCTAATTCAAGGTGCTAGTAGCTGTTAAAACCCTGAATTGTTTAGAGTTCAAATATCTGAAGGAGTATCTCATGCATGAAGATCAGAGAAAAGCTTTCTCACTGCCTCTTTCTAGGTTGATCTATTATTTTCAAACAAGAGACACTTCTGCTGCCCTGATTTTGGAATGTCCCTTTAAAACTTGTTCAGGATTCTTAAAAATACACAACAAAACATTTTTATTCTTGCTGTATGTGGATGCATTTTAAATGATTTAATTTTAAGTTTCTGGATTATGTTTAGTTTTTAGGTTGTATTATTGGGCTGACTTCTGGTGGAAAAAATGGCAGTTTAACCATTTTCAAAGGGAGATGGTGTTCCAAACTGTTTTGCCACCAGTTATATTTAGGAATGCTTTTTCTCCCTCTGGAAATAAGGAGGAAACCTGAAATCAACACATCTGTCCTCTGGACTGTCATTCCTCACAAGAAAGTCACAGAAATTTAGATTTTCTCAATCAGCTAGTGAAGCGAGCAATAGGGAGAGAGGGTCTTCCCTTAAGTTCACACCCCAATTTGTGGACTCTAGAACCTACATTTCTCATTTCTAATGAAATTTTTGGATTATAATTTGTTATTCAGTTAAAGAGAGACTTTCTACCAATACAGATAAGTGTTTCTCTTTGGTGATTCTTTGTCATTTCTGTGATTATAATATTCAGAAATGTCTGTGAATATTTTTGGCTAATTTTTACTGGATCTTTGCTGATTAATAAGGACAGGTGGAGAAATGGGTTTATAGAAAAGGGAGCAAAGTACAGAATGAAGAGTTATCTGGTTGCATTTTAAGAAGGAGTGGTAAGTTATTAATGAAGCCATTTTTTATTTTTTTGTGTGAGAAAGACAAATGTTCTTCAAAAGGTCCTTTGGAGAATGGACATATGATTAATAACTAATAGGATTGCAAAAAGAGGCAAGCGCAGAAAGAGACTTACCAAGACATTCTGGGTTTACCTCGCTCATCTCACCAGCCTGCTGCTCCTCCCCATTACTTCTCTGGCCCATGAGGAACTTCTGCTTCATTTCCAGCTGCAGAAAAGAGAGTTTAAAAAAGAATGAAAGAATTTCATATTTGCCTTTCTCAGATGACATCTCCACAAAGACATTTCCTCACAATGAGTGGAAATCAACAGATCAATGGAATGGTATTATAAGTTCACATCTTAAAAGAAAAACCTAGAAAAATATAAGAATGGCCAGTTTATAGACAGGATACTACTAACAGACCTAAGTTTGAAAATGATCAGTTCAGATTTCGGCAAAGCACTTGGTCTTTGGAAATCAGATTGCATCAGGAAGTATATGACCCTTAGCAGAGTGAATGAGTTAACAATACAATTTCCATGTCATTTCTTGCATCAGTAAGGATACCAGTAGCTCATCAAGAAAACCAATGGATAAGTGAAATATAGGCTTTTCTCAGGTTCATTTAAGTGGATTTCTTCTTCTGGGAAGTTAGTATACTTGGAGGGACAGCTCCCACTAAACCTGCTCCCTGACATGTAGAGCAGCAATCCTCAACCTTTCTGGCTCCACGGAATGGAAGCGGTGGTGGTGGTGGGGAGAGGGTGTGATTTCGCACATGCACACACCATTTATACAGAGCATCATGCACTCACGTGCTTGCCTACTGCTTGCGCGGTCCAGTTCCCAATGGGCTGCGAACTGGTAACCAGGCTGCGGACTGGGGATTGGGGATCCCTGATGTCGAGTAGCAAAATTTTATGCTATTTTTTAAATGAAAGGATATTTGGGAGCCATGAGAAATGAATTTTGCAGGATTAATCGCCCCATAAAAGAAAAGTTGATTAATGCTACTAAAAGAGATACTCAAGCATTTAAGCAATATCTGACCGATTCTGAACAGCTCTGAACCAGATCCACTTTGTGACTCACTTAGTAAATGAGGAATATATGATAACAATTAGCAGCCAGCCCTCTTACCATCCATATTCTGATCCCATCTGCCAGCAAATATACTTGTGCAAATTCTTCACTTAAAGGAGTTTTGCCACCACTATTCACTGCAAGGACAAAAAGATGGAGATAAGAAGACAGATCTTTTTAGCCTAAATCAGTCAAAGAACAAGGCACATCCTTCATACAAAGTGCAAAATCTTTCTAGATCTTTCTTAAAGTGGCAAAGCTTTGCTGAGGAGAAAATAGTGAACTGACCTTTCTACCACACCCAGAATTCCCAACCATCTTGGCCTATGACTTTACAGTATTTCAGAAATATATGTCTTCCCCTTTCATTTGAGCTGTTTAATTACTTACGTATATCAAGAATCAGAATGATATGTTACAACCCAACACCCGTTTTCCCTCTAAGAAGACAAGGACAACTAGGACCCAAGGTAACGAAGTGTCTATCATCTTTTGAGGTAGAAGAATCACAAAGAAACCTCGCAAATGCACCCAAATTAAATATGATACTCTATTATGGTGTCTTGAAAATTAAACATATCTCAAAACATTCACCGGAGAATGTTCAAAATAGTGATTTCCTATATTAAGCTTTCTAGGAAAAATTAACTTTGTACTACTCCTTCCCTGCCGATAATATTACTGATTCCTGAAGCCATATGTTGAATGTTCACTGTCATCCAGCATGTGGAGGACACCTGGTCACAGAAGACTGCTATGTAATATGAGCAGCAGTCTTTGTTATAAGTATATATTCACTAATGTAGAAGTTACCATATTTTTGCAGCTTCCCATACAAATCTGGAGAGAGATACACCAAAGCAGCAAATGTAGACTGGACAGCTTGATCGATAGTGGAACCAGCAACTATATCTGTCTTTGGGGCCTGTTTATTACATGCCTGTAAGAGTCCTTTGAAAAGTTCAGAATTTGGCCCACAGAACTCCTGGGTGGGGTCTGACTTTGAGAACTCAAGGAGAAAATTATGGCAGCAGTTGGCATCTGAGTTGATTGCCTAAAAAAGAACATCAGAAGAGATATAGGGATTAATTTCTACTTCAACCCAACTCAAAGTCCCTAATGATTAATTCTATAAGCATTATAAGATCCAATCTCAATATGAACATTAAAACAAATGTCATAAAAACTTTTAATTAGATTGAATAAAAACGTATCTTAGATGTAGTTAAAAATAATTTTAAATAAGAAATTCAAAAAAAGAAGCTATCCTATTTAGATAAAAAACTGGACCATTATTTCTAAAAATCTGGGGATCCATTTTCTAGTTTCCTAACTGAAAAGGAATTAGAAAAAGAAAGCTACAGACTTATATCCTGGTTATGGGGTCTGCTGATGGTTGGCTTTACCATGAGAAGGAAAAATCAGCAAACTAGCTAAGATTTCAAGTAGGTTATTCAAGTATCAGTAACAATGCCACAATTTATTACAGGAAATAAAACACTGAGAGATAAATCTGTATGATCTTAACGCTCTTTGTGTTATGGGTTTCCAATTTCTTATAAAAATCACATATTTTTAAAATTCTTTTTGAAAAGTAAATACTGTAGGAATAAATCCTTGGTTTGAGCTATAGTCCAGCACTCTGCTGTAGTAGCCTAAGTATTCCAGACAAGGAAGTAAAAGAATGTCCACGACAACAAAGATTACATGACAACTGAACAGGAACTTTGAAGAAATTCTAAAATTAGGGTAGAAAAAAAGAGGAGAATCCTCCCACTGCCATGCATGAAATCTAGCCTAATTATAGCTGCTCCCAGACAGATGTTAAACATGCTTTTAATCCAAACTCTATCTGATCCCATCCTTAGTCTTGATCACTTGTTTCTGATACAAAATGTGATAAATTGTGGCATAGCATTCCAGTCCCTGAATGATGTACTGTAACACCTGTCAGAAAAGAAGAGGGGAAAAAACGATCAAAGGGTTCTCTGAATTGGTGTTACTAAGTGTAAGCAGCCAACCTTAATACCTTTTTATTTTCCTGATGAGTTTGGCTTTCTTTTCTGTCTACTGGTGTTTGCTCAGAAGGCATCCGATGCCTGAAGACAGGTTTCCATAAAGGAGAGTTAAGAACAGCTGCCGCTTCTGTAGGAGGCAATTCTATTTCACTATCTTCCCCTGAAGAGAATAAACACTAAGTTAGAATAGCCGAGACGTTATCAAATTTAATATATTTTAAGATTACAGTTTGTAATCTATATTTACAAAGGTAAGGTAGTAGAAAATGAAAAGTAAATTCACTATAAAAGCCAGCCAATACATATAACATTTTAGAAATTGGCACTATTGTCACCCTTGCTTCCATTCCTTCTGAGACTCTCAATATATGCATTCAGTGTTGCCATAGGTTATGGCAGTGATGGCGAACCTTTTAGAGACCAAGTGCCCCAAAACTGGCCCCGCCCCCACTCCACCCCATGCCTTGCCCCCGCTCTGCCCCCATAGGTTCGCCACTGCTGGGTTATGGTGTTATTTTTTGTTGGATATTGGATTTCATGTCAGAACAATACTTCTTTGGGCAACTGTAGTGGCTAAAGTAAAGTAAAGCACCAGAGGGTAGATATCCCTATTCCAATCCACTTTCTAGCAAAATTATTATTTATTCCTTTTTTGTCAGGATGAAGTGTTCCCCACCAAGGCTTACAACTCAGAGAGGGATGGGGGGAGAGGGAGAGGGAGGGAGAGAGAGAGAGAGGGAGGGAGAGATGCACAACACTTCAGACAAGATAATCCTTTGAGGATAAATGAGTGAGTGGGATATGGAAACACAGAAGTTCTAAACGAATTTAGACAAATGACAAATTCAGCTCTGATGCTGAGTATTTGTTTTAAAATACATTACTTAGCATTTCTTCCACTGTTTCCTAAATGTATAGGCATTTTAAGTATAAACCTTGAGAATAAAAATTGCAAGTCAGCAAAGATTTTCATATCACATCCATTCCCACCTACAAAAGCATCAAGGATTTGAAAATGAAGAAAATTAAACTATTAATTACTCACCCTGTGAAGATTTCAACACCATACTCTGTGAAGCTAGGCGCCCCATTAGCTTGGCCACAAGGAGATGCAAATCCAGGACCCAAGAAATGTCAACATCAGGCAATCCATAGGCTGTGACAGAGAACTTGTAGCCCCACTCATTATTACTGCTATCAGAGTGAAAGAGAAACTGCAACCGAGGGCCAGTTTTGAAGGTCATTTTCTACCAAACAATAAAACAGCCAGATGTTTATAGGTGTAACAGGTTAGAAAAACAAGTTAACATCAGATATCAGGGATAGGAATGACAACACATCAATATACATTTCTTGCTTAGAATCTGGAGAGTACTCACCTTGGGCCACTTATCTGTGCCAACTTTGGTATCATAGCGAGTTTTGCCGCCTTTGGCATCAGTAAATTCCAGGTAATCATACCTACAGGTTTTTTTGAACAGATTAAAAGAACAAGTCTTAAATGGACTAATTTTGGCACCCTTTGATTAATCTGGAAACAAGACATGCAACTGAGCCACAAGACAGTTTTTTTCATTATGGATATTGGCCATCAATACTCCTGAAGGAAAGAAGGCCCATTATGATGCTGAAAGAAAACAGAAAGTTGATATGGAGAAGGGAGTTACATAGCGAGCAGAAGCCCCCACCAGCGGGACAGCAGAAAGCCTACTCTCCCCAAGAATGTTGCTGAAAAGTTGCCAAGTGGTTTCTGGTTTTTTTTCCCAAATTAAGAAGTGTATGAGATGTCTCCTCATGATATATTCTTGGCCTGGGTCAAGCTGCTTTTATCTGGCCATTGCCTTGGTAGTCCCAAAGGCAACTGGACTGCCTTGCTTTTTTCCTTGAAAATGTTTTGCTTCATATCCAAAAAGCTTCTTCAGTTTGTGAACTGAAGAAGATTCTTGGATGAGAAGTGAAAAGTCTTTTGAAAAAGCACCTTTGGGACAACCATGACTTGGAAGATTGAGAATCTCCATAGACATTGCCTGGTAGCAGCTCTTCCTCCTATTCTTCAAGGCCATTCTCTCTGCCTTCTACAAGCACCTTAGTCAATATCTCACAGTTTTTAATTAAATTGAAGATGCTACTTACTAAGTGACCACTTGAATGCAATAAACTGCAATCCCTACAAGAAACTGACTACCAATACATTTTCTTATGTAGCAAACATTAGCAATAAAGGACCTGATGAGAGAAGTTATAAGATGTGAGACAAATGTTATCGTTCTGAACCATCCATTTGTCTTCTTACATTTTGGTTCTAGGTTTTAAATTTCTGGCTCTTGAGGAAGCAAGAGTCCTAGAACTGGTCTCACATAAACAATCTAAAAACCATTTCTTTTGTTGTAGTTTCAAGAATGCAGCTAATAATAAGGCCAAAAGAAAATGTTAACCAAAAAGTGTTAATACAGGATTGATCAACTTGCCTCTGCTCCGTTTCGCATCTTTCGTCAAACTCAACCTCGAAGGAAGTTGCTCCTGGGCACAGGAAGACAGTCACATCATGGCAGTTGTTATTGTAATTATGAGGAGATTCTGCTGTCCACGTTTGTAGTACCACTGGCTGCTCCTGCTGCCAGCTTTCTATGCCCATCTGATACAAATAAAATAAAAAGGAGGAGCAGATATTAATTAACTCTCTGAAGCTTGATCTAGAAAACAATTGTGACCACTTATCCAGTGGGCACATGGAAAATTAATCCAAACCTTCATTTTAGATCCTGACTTGTCTGATAGCTATGGCCTGCTCACTCAGGGATCTGTTTTTCTATTTTAAAAGTTGTATCTGACTTTCAAAATCAGATTTTCTTAAGCTGGTTAACAATGGATCTTCATATGCCAGAGGCTAGAAACCTGCTATTCAACTGAAGACTCTGTAATGCTTTACAGATTTTGGCACGTACTTTAAGCAGGAAAAAGAAATATCAGCTACAAGTACTGAAATAATAGTTGTAAAAATAGAGCAGTACAGAGCTAAGACTTATTTAATGGCTGAATAAAAACAGACTTCTCAGTGCTACTCCAGCTACAATAGATACTTATTTTTTTAGATACTTATCTTTTCATTCAGAACTTAGTAAAGTTTACAAAATACTCTCTCTTCCTATTTTTCCCCAGTATAATATTAGCATGAGGTAGGTTGAACTGAAAAAAAAATAACCACCAAAATTAACTGGCCCAATGAGATTCTATGGTTCAGAATGAACTAGAAACTGGCTCTGTCACTCCTTATTTAACATGTGAGCCACTACTCCACACTTGGTCCCAGAATTTCAGGCATCTCTCTGAACTCCCAGGAATGTACTCCACATATTTTCCTGGTCCTAAAATCTTTAACAGCCTATCAGTATTTTGCAACAGATCTTGGAATGGAACAGGTAATCAAAAAGCTGAGATACCAGAGGAATGTGTTTCAATTGAGGATAAGAGTTTCTTAAGTACCCAGAAGCCTGCAATCTATTTAAATGTTTCACTATGACTTCTTATTCACAGTGTTAGTATTACAATCCCAGCATTTAATTAAAAAATGAAATATTGTTAAGCATTTGTATTTTTTTCTCAGATTACCTTATTTGGACAATTTTCAGACTCTGCAGACAGGTCATTCAGTAATTTTGTCAATGTGCTAACATCCTGCAGGAGGCTCCCATGAGGGATGTCTAAAATGCAGAAATCCTGCAGAAAGATCACCTAGGGAACACACAAAGCATCTGATGTTAACACTTACAAAAAGAAGCTCCAAACTGAAAATAGGCAATTGCCGTAGGAACTCATTCAACTCACTCACCAGCTGACGGACTACCATGGCAAAAACAGAGTTGCTTAATTTTCCCACAGTGGTTTTCACGCTGTATTGAGATAGGAGAGACTCTAAAATTGTCTTAATACTTGACAGAAACTGTTGTACATCTAGACAAAAAAAAAAGCGTAAGGCAACAGTTAAAGGAAATATTAGCAACGGGATTCTGTCACTCGATGCCCACTAACTATGTTGGATTACATCTACCTTCATCTTCAGAGACTGACACATACATCGCTTTAGGGTAGGCTAAACTAAAATGTTGGTGACTACTTATGAGTATTAGATACAGTACTCACATTTTGTAAGGATTTCTTTGGCAAGATGTTTGGATGCTGCATCATTGCCTTTAAGTTGCAGGTAGCACCAAGACAGGAGGCTACCCTGTACTGACCAGAATAAGGATGAGAGAACAGGGCCAGTATCTTGCAATACAATGTCCTTCATCAACATTTCACACTGGGGAAAAATCAGTTAAGTTCAAAGTCATTAGAAATCAAAACTAGAAATTGAGCAACTAAAATAAAATACACACCCTTTTCTTGACCTGAGAGGGGTCACATTTTCTACTTGGGGATCAGAAAAGATATGTAACCAAAGAAGCTGTTACCTGTGAGCTCCCACTCCTGAATTAGAACTAACTATTTTTTTTTATGTTCTCACATTTATTATTTTTAAATGTACCAACATGACAGAAACTGCACTTTTTAAGTCTAAGTGTTACATCAATAATAATTAAGCAGGGTAGACAATCTTTTGGCAATCAATAGCCCAACCTGACTGGGATGAAGCAACTGAGGACCATAAAGTGGGTAGGATAACATCATATAAGAAGTCTGGATATGGCTATTTGGGTTTGTTTTTTTTTAAAAAAACAAATCTGTGAAACAGCATTGAATCATTAAGTTTAACTTGATGTCCCATCAGAAATCAAAACGAAAACAGTTTGCTGGCTATCCACCACCTCAACTTGGTCACAGTTCTTTCAAATATGTTTAATTATAATTAAATATAAATTTAAATGAAATCAATTTTCTGCTGCTTAATGCAGATCTCAAATGTCAAATGTGTCACAACACCCAAAAAATTAGGCATCCCTACTTCACCATATAAGAAAAAAAACATTAAACATTATAGTCTACATTCTATACTCTATTGTACAATTTACAATAGACTGTTTAATTTAAAAATGGTGCAAAATAGTGATATTACATCAAGCAGAGCTTATCACTAAATACTTACGAATTTTCTGTTCAGCTTTAGTTATGACTAACAAAAAATCAGCTCTACTGGTATTTAAATTTGCAAATAATTTTCTGCAAATTCAATCAATATTGCCACCTCAATAGTATTTATTGGGGGGAAAAAACCCTGGTATACCTGTTCTGAAACTATTGGAACATATTGTCAGAAGTAGCTTTCACAGACCTTCCAGAAATAATGTATATATAAATTATCACTTCTATATGGAAAAAAAACCCATTTTTAAAAACTACAACCTCTTTTGACATCACCATCAGGAGGGTCCTCATTACTGTTAGCACTTGAGTAACATCAACATCTGCAGATGTTCCTTTATCTGGTAATAGCAGAAGTCCACCTGGATCCTGATCACTGACAAAGAAAGAACATTTCCATAATAATGTATTGTTAATTACCAATTAGAATTGGCAACTGGTTAATCTTTAGATCAGCGTTCGCCAACCATGGCCACTTCCAGGCATATGTATTTCAACGGCCAGAATTGTTATCAATGGCTGCGCTGGCTGTGGAATTCTGGGAGTTGAAGTACACACCCCTGGAAATTACCCCGATTGAGAAAAACTGCTCCAGATAATGCAGAATTTGACGCCAACTACCTCAGCCAGTATGAGCAATAAAAATTGAAGCTAAGATTTATCATTTAGCCAATTTAGTCTAATGGTTATCACACTAGGCTAGAAAGTAAGAGAGCATGTGTTCAAGTCTTGCCTTAGCATGAAAGCCAGCTGGGTGACCTTGGGTTAGTCATTCTCTCTCAATCCAGCCTTCCTCACAGGGTTGTTGTTGTAAGGACAATAGGAGGAGGAAGGTATACTGAATATGTTCACCACCTTGAGTTATTTGTAAAAATAATAAAGGTGGAATAGAAGCTAACAAAACAAAAAATAAACAAACATATGAATCGCTGCAGGTTCTAAAATAGGGCCATGTATTTTTCAATCCTTATGGTCACAATTTATTTTTTTAAGTAATTCAGATCCAGTTTCTATATTAACCATTTCTACTTTTTTGTTTCCTGAAGCAGAAATCTCATTCTGATGATCAGCAGATTCATATCACAAAATGACAGATTTGAAAATGTTAAAAAAATGCCAATGAGATAATTCAAAAAAAAAAATGCAAAGATTAACTTGCTTACCTAAAATAAGCACAAAGAGATTTGAAAGTAAGTTGCACAGATGGCTTGTGTTTCTGCTCTGTGATATTATTCTGTAAAATAGAAAATGCTCTTTTAAAAATAACTCTCACAAATATACACTTTTGGCAACAGAATAAATAAGCAGAATGGAATATCTCAAAGGATTGTTGAGTAGATACAAAATGGCAGTAACGGAATCTACTTAACTAGATAGTGTTATTTACAATGAACATGTACAAGATAAAATATAGTTAATATTAAAACTAATAAAAATGTTATTGGGAGGCAGATTGAGGTAGACTGGACAGAAGATGCATGTATCTGAAGAATCTAATCTTAAAAAGTACTTTTAAGTAACATATACAACAAAAACTACATTTCACTGATCTTCACAACATACCAGCATTGCAAAGAGCTGCTCCCGCCTGGTATGTCTATGGAGGAAAAAGATGGCTGCTCCATTGAGTAATGTGTTAGTCATTTCCTGCTTCAAAGCCTTCAGCGGTGTGGACTCACTGTTGCTGTTAACAACTGTTCATTAAAAAAGATAAAAATATCAAGTACATTTTGAATTCCAATTCCTTTTCCTGCTGTTCCTAAACTTCTATTGCAATCTCATCTCATACATGCAGTCCTCAGCTTATGACCACAATCGAGCCCAAAATTTCTGTAAACGAGACAATTGTTTACTGAATTTTACTTCACTTTGCAACCTCTCTTGCCACAGTTAAGTGAATCGCTGACATTGTTAAGTTAGTTAACATAGTTGATAACTGAATCTGGATTTACTCATTGACTTTGCTTGTCAGGAGGTTGCAAAAGAGGATTGCATGATCCTGGGACGTTACAACCGTCATAAATATGAGCCAGTTGCCAAGTGTTTGAATTTTGATCACGTGACCATGGGGATGCTACAACAGTCATGAGTGTAAAAAACAGTCATAAGTCACTTTTTTTCAGTGCCATTGTAACTTTGAACAGTCACTAAAGGAACTGTTGTAAGTCAGGGACTATCTGTATTTCCTCTTTTCTTTAAGACCCATCAAGAAGATACCAATTAAGGATATCTTGGTTTTGGGAGAATAAATTACAGTCCACTAGGTATGCAACAATTTCAGCAGCTTGCACCAATTTGTGAAGCCTACAAAAGGTTGGAAGATGCTATGACAACTCCCACCCCAACAGAAATCAGCTAATATGAAGTAGCTTAGGATTTAACCTGGATGAATGAGGCTTGGGCTCCAGTAAACAGGAGATTAAATAGAGATTTAAATAGAGATTAACAGATATTCTTATGCACAAGGTCCCTGATTTTTTTTTAATTCTCTGAGTTAAGAAGGAACTGGCCACAATGAGAAGTTAGTAGGGAGAATATAAAAGGGTCAACTTCAGGTACAGTTAGTTTTCCTCCTTCCCTAGCAGAAAGTATACTCAACGCCAAAGGCCAGACATCTTGAGATCTGAGATTAGATATCTGTCATGGAATCGAGGATCAGCAGGAGATCCTTGTTCCTAGGAATTTCATAGCAATTGCATTCCCTTTCCCCACAACTCCTCAAAGAATTGCCAGCTACCCTGCTCTATAAATGCCTCATATTATTATATTAAAGGAAGAAGTCTCAACTACATGGAATTCATGGGTTGTAACGAAAGATGAGAAGAATCACCTTCACACAAATGTTTATAAAGTTCCTCTGCTGCTTCTGTACTTTCTACTGTTGTTTTCTGAGCAGCTTTCTCAGTCTTTGCAGCTTTGGGATCTGATGTAAGCATTGAGAAGCAACTCTGAAGAAGTTGTAAGAGCACGGCCTGGGCATCAATGCATTCTTCTCTTGGGCTACAAGGAGAAGCCACAAAAAAATTGTCGTGAAACTATGGTTAAGACAGTAATTCAGCATTTAAAATGCCTTCCCTAAACATAACCAAGCATAGAACCTTACATTGTGTAATTTCCTACATACCAATCAGCAGAAAGTCTTTATAACACATGGTTGTGGTAGTTAATAAATACCTCTGAAGGGCCCTGTGTAACACAGAGTTCTGGAAAATCTAATACCTGCTTTAGATTTTTATTTTTCTCAACTGTATAAGTATACTGATTTCCTTTGAACAGCAGCATTGTGCCTGTTGATAATTGCATATGATTTATTATAGCTGTAACTTGCCAGTCTCATGTATTTGACAACAGACCAAAACTGAAGGTTTTCGCTATTAATAACCACCACAATGATAACCCTAAATATAACTAATTGTGCTGACTTTTGTTTAGTATACTCGAAAGGGACCTACTTTTGGTGAAGTTTACTATAAAAATTCCAGAAAAGTTTTAAATCCAGGCCTGTGAAGTCCAAATATGATTTATATCGTTGACCACTTTCCTTCTTCTGAACCTATAAAAGAAATTACTAAATAATGAAATGGAAAAGAATTTGATATGAACTAGATTTTGCTGGGACAAAAGGTGCAGCTTTTGAACAGCAATGAGAGTGAACTGATTTTGAGAACAAAAAATCCAGTGACATTCTGAAGATAGAAAATTTATGACAGAATAAGACTGTGGATTTGAATCATGCACTTGATGATCCGCTATTCGCTGAAATGGAATCCAATCCCTGAAACCTAATTGCATAATACATCTAAAAGTCTGAAATGGGTCATATAATAATGCACCTGTCATTACCTAAGCTATACCATTCTAGTTATTGAGTACTTTTGAAGTATATTCAAAGTGTTATGGTAATCTAGTCTAGATGTTATTAGAGTGGAAACTGAACAAAGAAAAGCAACCTGAAATTAAGGAGAAACTTCCTGACAGTGAGGACAATTAACCAATGGAACAGCTTGCCTTCAGAAATTGTGGGCACTCCATCACTGGAGATTTTTAAGAAGAGGCTAGACAGTCACTTATCTGAGATGGTATAGGTTCTCCTGCTTGAGCAGGGGGCTGGACTAGAAGACCTCCAAGGTCCCTTCCAGCTCTATTCTATTCTAAGGAGCTGCATTATCATTCTAGATCATCTCTGTCTAGCCACAGACCCCACTGCCACACCCAACTATGATGGAAGAAACTCAGAGACATAAATGCAACAGGCCAAATAAAAATGCCTCAAATTGCAAATCTGTATTTTGAAGAGTGCAATCTCACCCAGGTTAATACTTTAATAATTCCTCGCATATCTGAATTCCATACAGAATGGGTTTTATTGAAATTTTACACCATTTTATATTGTCGTTCTTAACAAGATCATTTATTTTTAAGACCTTATTAAAACTTGTTGTCAATGTGTCTTTACAAAACACTCTACAGAAGGGAAGTTACAATGAAAAGAATGCCACCTACCAAATCTTGTGCAAGTTGTTGAATGAAAGACAGAGTTTTTAGAAGAAGAGTCATTCCACAAACGGTATCGTCATTTAGTCTGTCACATTCCCTACAGATCTTGTTTCTGCTAGGTTCTTCAGCTGCTGAGCGAATATAACCAAAGACACTTAATCCTTGTACTCCCAGCCGTTCAGCTTTCTCTTGCCTGGTGCATAAGAACTTTACCATCAAGTACTAGAAAAGTACAGAGAACAAACATGAGTCCAAGCAACTTTCTTAAAAAAAAAAAAAAAGACTCAACCATTTCACACTAAGATTTACAAACACATTTCTATTATGAAATATGGTCAGCTATTCTGTTTTCAGTTCTTTTAACATCAACATACGTGTTCTGAATTCTTAAAACTCAAACGTTTGATTCAAGTCATTACAGAATAGCTTCTTTCCTGTTGGGAGTTAATGCCTTTAATACAATGCTTGTTGCAGCCTTTAGCACACATCTAAAATAGTGTGTGTCTTCTTACATTAGACCAGGAGTGTGCAATTACCATTAGATCAAGGCACTTAGTGCAAAAGAGGGTAGGATCAGGACCATTTTAGGGACAGGCAGGGCTTTTTTTCTCATAGAACGCCCAGAACGGAGTTCCGGCACCTTTTTTGGATGGAACCTTGTAGGGTAGGCAAGGCAGGTTGTATGACGTGGGTGAGTTCCGGCACCTTTTTTTTTTTTTTTTTTTAGAAAAAAAGCACTGGGGACAGGAATCATTAGGGATTTAAATATCTTAAAACTTTGCAATAATTAAGGTGTATATTTTGCTCATTAAATCGCTATCCAAAACCCTGAAAAAACAACAAAAAAGGCTGAACTATGGGATCACCACAGTGTGTGTGGGGCAAGGATATATATAAGAGAAGCTAACAGGACATTTGTGGCCCCAGACTACACCTCTGCTTTAAAGCTATACTTTGTTATGATCAAATATACATAGATTTACTCTATTAATAGCAACAATACAACAGTCCCTAATAAAAATTTTGAATTGCATAGAATAAGTCACCAAATTGAGATAACAATGGAAAAAACAAAAAGTAACAACAGAATGTTGATGTTGTTTGTAATGCTGCCTTTAGCTTGATGTGACTGAGATATCTAACAGCAAATTAATGTACCTACCTCCATTAAGCCTGATATATAATTCATGTATTTATTAGATTAGTTTGCTTGACCTCCAGGAAATGGTGCTTGAGGAATTATTACTTTTGGTTTGGCTAATCAGTCCAACTAAGATGATATATGCATCTCACTGAACCACCATTTAACTATAAGGTAATAACTTATTCTTTTAAGTCTGGATATGTGATACAATGAGAGGCAGTATGATACAGTGTACTTTCCTTAATTATAAGAAAGCACTGGATGACTTTAGGCCAGTTACTCTCTTAGGTCAGTTCCTATTGTGGAGATAATGAAGGAATATCCCCACACAAGTTATTTTGAGCTTTCAGAGGAAAGACGCCATGTATATCCATAGACAAAGAGACAGTCTGTCAGTTTTACCTTAGATATTCTACACTGCTGCATTTTCACTTCTACTTCATCCCATTCTTCTTCCATTTCAAACGATCCAACAGGATCTTCCTCTCCAAGTTCATCACATACAATGCTACTTCTGGAAAACAGGCAGTATTAAAAATAATAATATTTGTACTATATACTAGATACGTTATGTAATCACCATTTGCAGCCTTCCCAGCCAGCTTCCAACGAGTGATGACAATGGGGGAAGCCAGATTCGCCTAACAGCCTTGTGAGTCACTTAACAACTGCAGTGATTCACTTAGCAATTATGGCACAAAAGTCATAAAAAATCAGGCATGACTCACTTAACAACTGCCTTGTTTAGCAATGGAAATCCTGGTTCCAATTGTGGTTGTAAATCAAGGACTACCTGTATTTTTAAAGGCAAAGATATTCATCCTTATCATTTGTTTTAGCATGATTTGTGCAGCATGATAAGAAGCACGGGGTAGAATGTCTTGTGGATTAGTTGGTCAAATGTGACACTTTAAGCTGGAATTGACTGTTGGGATCGTGTCTTCTGTCCCAATAGATTGCCATGCTTAGTTTTCAGTGAAATGTCCCAAGTCAAAGAGCCTGTCTAGAAAGCCCCAGAGTCAGTTGTTGGTCTTTTCAGTTAAAAAGAGCAGGTAAGTTGTGATAGGCAAGGGTTTTGTCTACTGAGCTCTTTGGGAGTTTTACTGCCAATGAAAGAAGCTTATAGGCTAACTTAGTAAAAGGCAGCTTAACATTATGTATTAATGAGGCACATTTGTTTTATACCTACCTTGTTTTTAAGAAGCATTGGAATTCCTCTAGTGTCCATTTGTCATAGCTCTCAAATCTTTTGAAATGTTCGTCTGCATGAAATTTATCTGAAGAGGAATTGTAAGCAAACACCAATCCACATCGGGCTCCAATTGCTCCTCTCCGCACCTATGAGGGGAAAAAAGGATGTTTAGCACTGCACCAACCACGAGGAGAAAAACTAAATGACTCCTCTGAGACTAGGTCATATAAACTCCATATAACCTTATTCTACATAAATAATACTCTTCCCAACTTTCAAATTGATTTGATGCATTATCTAACTCATTCATAAAAGTAGAGGATACAGATGTTCTCCTCCTCCTCCTCCTCCTTTCTTTCTTCTTCATTTTAGCCTTTATCTGTCTACCCACTGCAGGACTAAGGCCTCTTCTGCATGTTTCCAATCTATACAGTCCTGAGCTTTCTTTTGCCAACTGGGCCCACAATACTTGCTGATGTCGTCAGATTCATCTTGTTTTAGGTCTCTTTCGTGGACGCTTTTTATCAAGTGGAATCTATTCTGACTGCCTTGGTCCGCCTACCAAGAGTTTTTCTTGCTATGTGACCAACCCATTTCCATTTCAATTTTTAAACAAAGTATTATTATGGGTTCCCTACTCTGAAAAAAAAACCCTATTCCTATTACTAATATTTTACTGTTTAAAATATATGTCCTGCAAACTCCCCCCCCCCCCCAATTTTTAATATCAGGCTAAAGCTTAAAGCTTACAAGAAGCTAAATGAGCAAAATTTTCTTACTTATAAAGACCATGCAATTAAAAGCAAAACAAAGAGATTCACGGAGAATATTTAAGAAGAGCATTCAGACCTTTATTCTGATTTGTGTGACCTGAAAGGCTGATTCTGTCCCAGTTGAGAGAATGATGCTGGCCTGTCTTTTTCCGGTCTCTGTCAGGAAGCCTTTGGATAAAAAATATGCAACAACTTATCTGGATATGTTCAGAACAAACTTTTCCACCTTGTTACATGTTTGGCTTGAGACTGTGCAACTGGTGTGCACATTAATTAAAACTTAACTGTGTCTAAGAATTAAGTTTGTAATTTGAGTGTGTTCTTGGAACTTGCTTTACTCCTGATGGCTCGCTAGTGTATAAAATGCAAAGATGATTCTCACTTAATGACCACTCATTCAGTGACTATTCAAACTTACAACAGCATTGAACAAGTGGTACTTATGATCGGTCCTCAAAGTTCTGGGTGGATGTAGCAGCGTCCTCATGGTTATGTGATCACAATCTGGGTAGTCAGTGACTGGCTCACATTTACAACATCATAAGTATCTTGTGGTCATGTGAACACCATTTGTGACCTTCACTGCTTGCTTCCAACAAGCAAAATTAATGGGGAAACTAGTAGGAGGTTGCAAATGGCAACTATGTGATGTTGCAGGATTTGCTTAACAGCAGCAACCAGAAGTTGTGTAATTGCTGTCATTGAGCAGCATGGTCATATGCAGTTGTGCTTTATGACTGCATCATTTAGTGATGGAAATTCCAGTCCCAATTGCTGTTGTTAACCAAGGACTACTTGTATTTCAAGTCACTGTTACACATGCCCAGTTCTACTGCAATATGCTGAATACGGCTCTGAAGAGCATCTAAAAACTTTCAGTTGTTCATAACAAGTATGAGACAATGTTTAAAAAATGCCTGTTATTTGGCACATTGCTCTTGTTTCCAGCCTCAATTCAAATTGCTGGCTCTTACCACCAGAATATTAAATAATTTATGATAAGTGAAAAAAAAAACACTTTCTACCACGATGATGGTTGTCTTGTGAAGTCATACACGTCACACATTTATATTGCTGTTGCTCTTTTCTGTTTATTGTGTTTTTAACATTCTAAATTACTGTTTTGTTGTACGGCTCTTTGATATCTCTGTCTGAGGCAGAAAAGCAAGATGGAAATGTTTTTACTGAGTTGAAAATGAGAATCAAAGGAAGCCCTTACCATCGCCTGTCCATGGTTCCACAAGCATATTTTCAGGTCCTGATTTGTCTTCCTTCCCTTTGACATCACAAGCTTGCAGAGTTAACTGCAGGGCTGTTCCTGGAAAAGCAGGGGGAAAAAAACAGTTTTATGAAGAGACACAGGGTACCCAATTGAGTCTAACTGAACAGAGCGGGATAAGAATGACTCAGAACAACCTGTACTCTTTCAGCTTAAGTTCACAAGGATGACTCCAGGTCCAACATTTACCAGCGGAAGTATGTGGTTGAAAGAAAAACTTAAATTTATTCTTCCCAATATATGTCCAACAACACAAGTGCTGCCTTATACTGACTATTCAAGAAACACTTATACAGGTACAGTCCTAGACGTATGCCCGCAACTGAGCCCAAAATTTCCATTGCTAAGCAAGACAGATGTTAAGTAAATTTTGCCCCATTTTGTGACCTTTCTTGCCACAGTTAAGTGAATTAATGAACTTATTAAATTAATATGGCTGTTGTGAATCTGGTTTCCCCATTGACTTTGCTTGTCAGAAGGTTGCCAAAGGTGATCATATGACCCTGGGACACTGCAACCATCGTAAGTACCTGTCAGTTGCCAAACGGCCGAATTTTGATCACATGACCATAAGGATGCTGCACATTTACGGTTGTAAATGTGAAAACAATCGTAAGTCATTTTTTTCAGTACAATTTAACTGTGACCGGTCTCTAAACGAACCGTTGAAAGTCGAGGAGTACCTGTATTTTCATCTAGTAAGGTGTTAAACTGAGTAAAACAAAGGGAGGTAAATAACTGGGGGTTTTTTTCCACAATTGATTCAGTGGGAAGTAGTCCACCTCAGGGGAAAATGGGGAGGAGAATCAGATGCAGATCTGCATGCAAAAGATTTGATTAAATTCTACTACTATAAAAAAATGATTTGGCCGAGTCACTGCTCAGAAGCATCCTGATCACTTGACTCCATAAAAGTCAGCCTAGTGCAGAGCTTAAGATGTTCAGCTAGGATCAGAATCGTTTGGGGGCTTGAGAAAAGAGTGGGAAAGTGGTTATAGCTTCTGAGAGGCAAACCTCTTTTCATTCTCTCCTTAAACCTCCCAACACGAGAGGGGGGGGGGACCCACACAAAATAATGCTCATGATACTTAGCACAAAAATGGTCTTCATGGTTGTAGGAAATGGGAGTATTAAAGATGGGAATGGAAATGACCTGGCTTTCAGAGGCCTCCCACATTCACTCCCACCTTTAATTTGCTCCCAAATATTGCCCATACAGTATAAAATGGGCCATCTTGCCATCTCATCAGTTTGATTTCAGAGACGTGTGGGATGCTGGAAAACATCAGGTGGCCTGTAGGTTGCCTCCCTGTGCTGTAGTTTGTGGATTGTGGAAGGCTAGCAGAGAAACAAAATAAACTCCTGGTACCAAGGTCTGACCCAGAGAGGACTGAACATCCCCAAGCACAAAGTTTCCAGCAATGGTTACCATATTTGTAGAGCAGGTTTTGCCTGACTGTAGCCATGGAAGTAATTAGAGAAGTAGCCTTATAAGCAGTTTCCAAGTGGCCAGCAATAGTGCAAAGTGAATTCAACACTTTCGTCAGGCTCCCTCTGGCCAGAGAAAACGCTAGCAGCGTAAGTTCTACTTCTGGAGAGGCACAGTAACTGGAACGGAAAAAGAAAGATTAAATTTTAAAAACTTGCAATTTATTCTAATATGCCCTCCTCCTCCTCCTCTTTATATTCTAGCTTAATCCTTACCATACCTGGTAATTCCCAGGAGAAAATTGTCCACTTCTTCCAAGACATTGGAAGATAAGAAACTTGAAATGTCTGTGGAGCCTGGAGACAGAGAGAGAGGCGGCATATGTTGCAATGCCTTCCTAGAGGACAAGAGAAAGAAAAGGCAGTCCATCAGAAATTGCCTCAAGCCCATCACAAGAAGACAGTCATAATAGGTAATATTTGCCCAAGAATCTGGCAACAAAAGAACAAGGGACTTAATTACATTTGCCTTTACTTTGTGTTTCAGCAACCTTTGCTTGTAATTTAGCCGCTCCGGTTCCTGAATAAAGCAATTTGTTAATTAATACTCTGATACCTGCCCTTGATTATGAGAGCTTATTCTACAGACAATTCAAGGAAATTAATTTGTATGAGAAAAACATCCTGGCTTACAATCAAATTGGTTTAATCGATATCATCCAGTCCTGTGATACACTTCTTAGCATTTCCCTGAAGATGCACTTAAAAACTGGCTGATCATCGACATGATTATCTATAAAGTAGCATGTACAGTATATTAACCTTGAATTTTTTGGCCACTTGGCTAGCAGTTAATATTTTTAGGTTTCCTGCAGGTTTTCCTTCACTCCATGCAGGGAGTGAAGAAATTAGTTAGAGACTAAGTTAATTACATAGCTTTATACAACGTTATAACTTTAGTTTTTAAACTGTAAAAAAGTTTTAACTTTTTATTGTGATGCATAAAATCATCAAAGTATTTCAAAATCACTTACTTAAAAAAATCATCAATCTAAATGGAGATTTAATAATTGCATTGCTTCTAAGACAGACAAACCAACAAAGGATAATGCATCTGATTTTCCTATCCTTTTTTTTGTACAAGAGCAGTTAGATACTGCCTGCTTCATTTTGAAGAGTTATACTATATTAATAAAAGTGCAGCATGTACTGATAAAATTTATAGGTTGTACGACTGTGGGCAGCAGGAATAAAGGAACTTGTTTCAAATCAACAAAGTTTAGGATTTAAAATCAATTTTTTGCATTCCTGGATTAAAGGTATTTACACACTGTCATTCAAAGTTCCAAACATAAGCTGCAGAGCAACCTTTTTCACCTGAAAGCCCTCTAGATGGGCAAACCAATTCCCAGATTTTCCTCAGCCAGCATAATTACTGCTGAGAGTTAAAGCCTGGAATGTGCCAAAGTTGGGGAAGGCTGACCTATAGTAAAATCCCTAGGTTAAATGTAAATATGGATGAATACTGTTCTTTAATGCTATAAAAGAATATACAAGGAAGTATGTTCACAGTACAAAACAGAGAAGTGGTTTAAGAAGAGTTAATGCGCTGAAAGAGGAGAGAACTTACTGGGTATTTTGCAGAATAGCATGAACAATCGCAGGGTTGGTTTCCATGGATGCTGTGACCAGAGAGGTCAAAAGTGACCAGTACCAGATTGCTGAAGCATCACATACAGAGACACAGTCTTTTTTCACTCTTTGGTACCCAATAGCCCTGAGACCGTGAATTCTTGTGTCACATCCATCACTAAGGCAACGCTTGATGTTAATCTGTACATCTGTCAAGAATATCAAACAAGGGTAATTTCTTCCAGTCAAGGGCCAAACTGAAAATTTCAGAAGTCAGTCAGTTCTTGATACACCATTTAAGAATAGTTCTGAAGGCACATAGCTGGACGGTTGAATTAATCTTTAAACACAATTGCATCTAGGTATACATTATGGGAAATATAGATAAATCTCAATTATTTCAGGGAATACTAATATGTCTTCCTAGTCAGCAAATCTAATAAAGGGTAGGCTCGTGGCTTCTAAGATCCAGAAGCATTTGTTCCATGGTATCTTTTGAGACCACTTTCTGAAGATCCTATGTAAGACAGTTTGTATGGGGAATGATGAACGGTGAGAGAGTGTTTTTGAAGCAGTGGAAAGAATTTGTAATTTAGAGAAAGTAAATGTCTAGCCATTTTCATAATCAGGTTACAATGGGAAAACTACACACCTTTGTTATTGTGGTTGTAGTAATAGTATTTTTTTTTCTCAGAAGTCATTCTAAATATTTATTTCTAATCATTTCTCATGCCAAGAGTAATGAATAGATACTTCATAGGAAGTATCAGATAAATAAGTAACCTCTTGCCAGCTCAAAAAGATATCAATTGAAAACTGTACTAGACTCTTTCAGAATCATGTCCTTGAAATGACTAGACTATAAATCTTTTAACAGTGGGAAAGCAAGCAAGTTAAATGCAAGCAAATGCTGCAACATCACCTCCAGCAGGCCACATCTGTATCTGTACATGTGCTGAACACATACACTCAATATCCCCCTGTGAATTTATATGGGAAAAGATATGGATGATCTAAGAGCAAAAAAGCAAAGGAAACCTACTTAGGTTCCCATGTCGGTCAAATACAGTTTTAAATGGCCAGCAATACTCGCTGTGACAATTCAGTTCTGGTTTTAGGGCTTTGGAGAATTGCAAAATGGCATTCTATAACCTAACTGGATTAATATAAATTCAATCATGTGGCATATCCTTCCGAATGAGTCTTTTGAAATAAAAAGCACAACATCCAACAATTTCAACAAATGGATGCCCCAGCACCATGAGATCAACTCCTATGATACCATAACTTAGTAGGAACTAAGTTCTGGCCACTTGAGGCTGATTTTTCTCATGTTTGCAAGTTCAATTCTTGGAATTCTACTAAAAAAAGAGAGGGGAAAAACCAGAACAACTAATTTACCACCTCTGACTTATTAGAGGATCATTTCTTTCTCAATGATTATAAAGTTGGAGTTCAGAACTCAATTGCAAAAATTAAGAATGCCTACATCTAAGTAATCAGTCAAATTTACAAGGAATTAAGACCGTATACTATACCAACAGCAAAACAGCAGATGGATATAGACTATCTGCTAAACTAGTTACTTGGAGGAAAATAAAACCAGAAATTACAAAGGGAAATAGAATTCCATTGGGATCAAGATACGAGTCAACCTGCACTGTTTTTCTGATCCAATTACCTTTCCTCAAACTATTAATCACAGAGGAAAGTATTCACTCAGCAATAATGTAATGGGGTGGGGAGATAATAGTATAGTTTTTAAAAAATGGTAGAAGGGAACATTATTCCCACAGTATCACTGTTTTATTATTCTGAATCAGAACTCCACTACCACAACTGTTTTAAAGTGAAAACATTCCTTAGACAAACCAAAGAAATAACCCACATAATGTAATTTTTTCAGCCCTATCATATCTACTCCAATGGGGCCCCTTTGCTGATTTACCGGGCCTAGGCAACAATTTCTTCATTTTTTAAAAAAGGATTTTGTTTTGATTGTCACTGCCAGCATATATATTTAAAGGTTAGTTATAATTATGATACATGACTGTTGCCCAAAGAGAAATTCTAGAGATTCCTAAAATGTCGCAGGCATATTCACACAATCAAGAATTGAGACAAATAATTGAGATCTGCAATCAAGTGCCCCAATGCATCTCTAGATCTAAAAAGTGACCCTGTATAGAGCCGGTTGCCCTTGAAAACCTAAAAGTTCAGAGTTCAAAGGAGGGAAGATTTCTGAAAAGAACAGGAGAAAGTGCTGTCACTCTCTTCTTAGGCTATGAAGACGAGAGGAAACCCAAACTTATTTAAGTGCGGGAAATTTTCCTCCTTACAACAAACTGGTACATCAACATTCTGTACATACTGGAAAGTTCCAAATAATTTTTGAGTTTTTTCTTATTTCATAGACATGAGCACAATATGTATGCACATGGAGTCCTGAATATAACTTTATTTGGGTATAAAACCCAGAGTAGCTCTCATGTTAGTGTTCCAACAATCTATGCCCTGCCTCCACTGAGGTCATTTATTACTATTAAAGTGCCTGGTTATGTAAAAGTCACTATCTTATTTTTAGGTGATCCTACTCCATTTCTACACAAATAAGCAGCCAAAGATTCAAGGCTGCTGTTTGCATAGATAATGACACTTACAATGGACCAAACCACAATCTCAGGACAGAATTCTGAGAAATAATTTCACTTGTGCGAGTATTTTTGTAAGCTTATAGGTGCTATAAACGGATGAAAGAAATAGAATTTAAAAAGCAGAAGGTTCTGCTAGGAGGACACACATTTGTAATTAAATCATCTGATGGAAGAGGTGGTGAACATATTGTCACTTCTCAATTAAGAGACGAACCCCTTTTGCGTCTATCTTGTGAGATAACTCCTACTTGTGAGAAGCTCCTTCCCCTTTTCTCTCAGGCTCTTCAGAAAAGAAATTTTCTATTTTACAGACTTTTTTTTCAGAAAGCAATACTGAAACCTCACAGCTAGTTCCTGAAAAAAAACCAACATGAAAAAAAAGGGGGGGGGAGATTTTGAGGACAGTCTCTTTTTCGTTCTAAAAAGCCAACAGGCGATGGTGGTTGCAATTTCTTTAAAAGCCCAATTTGCAGAAAGACTCACCACCACTAACTTCCTTCTCAACAAACAGGAAGAAAGATGGTTTTGCTCTATCAATACCTTTACCAAAGTATGTGTTGGACCTCACTGCTGTTGCCTGCAAAACTCCAATGGGAAGAGAGAAAACCCACCCACTGCTCCCTACCTTCTACAAAAAAAAAGGAATGGCAGATTGGCACAGCAGATGCTTCTGAAAAGGCTAACCTTATAGGGATAGAACCACCTCTTTTCTCCATGGAAAAGCTTCCACAACTCAGGTTCCACATTTGCAGAGAGCCGCAGCAGCCTTGCTGCTTCTATCTCCTGTAACCTCTTAACAAAAGAGAAAGAAACATGTTCTTTCTCATAGAGAAAGCCGGAGTGAAGAAAAGAGTGATCTTTCTCATTCAGCTTTAGTAAATAGCAGCAAATGGGCTGCTTGCACCTTCTTTACGGAGTTCCCTACTTATTCCTATTCAGGGATGGGAAGAGTCAGCCGCAACACAAATAATGTGTTTGCAATTGTATTCGTATAGTTTGATGGAAAAGGCAACATTTTAAAACCTTGTTTGCAAAGTTCTCCCTTTAGCTTCCAAGTCATTCAGTAACTTACTTAATTTTTTAAAAAAACAAAGCAAAAAAAAAAGCCAACTGTATTGTTATTGACTCACACATCTGACTAATGTTAGCGTTTTCCAACAATGTCACGTATCCAGTAACATTGCTGGGAATGTGAACATCTCGGACCTCCTGGAGATTGTTGGGAGTCCTTCCAACTGCTACTGTAATTTGCTGGGGCATGTAACTCTGGTCATTTGCTGCAACAGCAATGGAGAGGTGCCTCAGAATGACATCTGGTTTCATCTTTAAACTGCAAGGCAGAAAGAAAGAGTTTATTTATCAACTTTGCATCCCACTGCAAGCACAGGAGCTTCGGTGGCTCACAAAATAAGAATATATGCAGTGAAATATAAAAACACAAACATAGGACAATTAAGATGTGATGATATTGGGTATGTCTAGTTTGATGAAGAGAAGGACGAGGGGGGACATGATAGCAGTGTTCCAATATCTCAGGGGCTGCCATAAAAAAGAGGGAGTCAAGCTATTCTCCAAAGCCCCTGAAGGCAGGACAAGAAGCAACGGATGGAAGCTAACCAAAGAGAGAAGCAACCTAGAACTAAGGAGAAACTTCCTGACAGTTAGAACAATTAACCAGTGGAACAACCTGCCTCCAGAAGCGGTGAATGCTCCAACACTGGAAGTTTTTAAGAAGAGACTGGACAGCCATTTGTCCGAAATGGTGTAGGGTTACCTGCCTGAGCAGGGGGTTGGACTTGATGACCTCCAAGGTCCCTTCAACTTTATTATTATTGTTGTTGTTATGGAAACTTTTAATACAAACATTATTCATAAAAACATGAAAAAACAAAAAGGAATACCTTCAATGCTCACGTTTCTCAGTAACCAACACAAAGATAGGTTCAACTGTAGTCTACTTGACAATAAATAGCGTAATACAGCAAGCATGACTATATCAATTGATAGGCTTATGTTTCATGAGAAACGTAAAATAATGTTTCCGTTTCACAGAATCTTGAGAAAACAAAAGACTGCAACATTTAGGCTTGCATTCCTATTTATACTGCTACAGATATAGATATATAGATATAGACTGATTGTCCTGGGTAGTTTTATCTTGATTACTGTGTTTTTGTTTTTTATATTATGATGTTTTTACCTGTTTTAATTTCTTGTCAGTTGCCCAAAGTCATATATTTGAGATGGGCTGCCATATAAATTGAAGAAATAAAATTCCATTTACTTAAACTTAAAACAGGTTATTAGAGATGTACAGAACTCCATTGTAGATTGATAAAAGTTACATGTTTAAGGAATCTTTTAAAGATTCCAAATGTGTGTTAGTGTTATCCAGCCATTAACTTTGGACTTTTAATGCACTGCTTTTATCCAGGCATTTTTCCTGCTTTTATTTTAAAATATTATCATTTTTAATCTGCTATTAAATTATTTGTAATAAATACCATGTATATTATATGTGTGCATATAATATACACTACACATAAAATCCAGCTAAAAATGCTATTTTCTCTGAAACAAGAGGGCATGATTCTGAAGACTGAAAAGAGAAAAGATTTTTCCCATTAGGAAAAGGTTTCTCTTATGCAAATTTAACATATAATGTAACCTTTATCGTTTAAACCTTTTATCATTTAACATATTGTAATATTTAACATATCAAGCAATCAATTAATAGAGCTGAAAGATAATCATAGTATGCTATTTCAGATCCATTAATCGGTATGAGAGAAATGCTTTTTGGTTTTTTTTGGCCAGATAAAGTGAATGCCCTTACAAGTCAGATTTCTATCTGGTCAAGAGTTCATATGTTTTAAGAATATGCCAGCATTAGGCTCAGGCCAGGCCCAATCTATGAGTATTATACATACTTGGCTAGTTAAATTATACCTGGGAGTCTTTTATTAACAAAATTATAGATCAATTTCCATTAAAGTCAGATTTTATTCTAGCCATCTTAGGTAGTTAATTAATATTTAGCAAGAAGGTCTCACCGTATCCAGTGTGATCGAGCACTCCCATCTGATTGCCAGAAGGAGGAAGTTTCTCCGTTTGTCATTTTGTCTATATCGGCTGAATTAGAGGAGGTTTCTATATGGGTATAGCACTTAGAAACTGATTTGAGTTTGTCCAATTCCTGATTTCCATTTAAATCACTAGGACTTTCTGTAAAATGATCAGATATAGGGACAAACAGGAGAATCAGAAGCACTCATTATCAACAGATGTCATTATCAATTTGTATACTGTTTTGCTTTTATTTGCTAACTTCTCAGAGATATGTATTTGAGATGGACTATTAGACAGACAGACAGACAGATCTGTCTACCGTTCTCTGTGAATGTCTGCTCTCTCCCCTCATGGTGGCTACCCTCAAAATGTGGCACTACAAACTCAGAATTGTTTCAAGCCATATTCTAAAGTGTTTCGCTAAAAACTTCTAAAAACTGCGTTCTCACAAATCATAAAATGCACAACATCCCATAGTGAATAGAACTGAAATTTGAAGAAAAGAATTGCATGGTGATTACCGAGCCCACTACTTCATTAATTTTAAATATTTTTCTTGTTTGTGGTTTTTGACATCTGTAGCTGTCTCTATTCAATTTGATAAAAAAAGAGGGAAGCAGCTTCTTCCCCAGTTTTGCTGACTAATGTGCACTTGTTTAAACGAAACAAAAAATCCAAACGAAACTGTTGATTTGCGCAAATCAAATTTACCACACTATTTATGGGCAGAGAAATGTATGGAATCATTTTACTTCAGTTTTTCAGAGTGTGAGAAACATTCCTCAATGGTTTCTCAGGAATGGGTCTCTGCTGCAATGAAACACCAATTTATTTTTTTCCCTAAAGTTTTTCAAGAAGGGAAGGAGCAAAGGACATCACCAGCTACAGTCGTGGAAGAGTTGCCGCTTTGTACCTTCCTTCATGCTTCAGCCCTAGCTTTGTTCTAGGTCATTTTAAGTAGAGAAGAGAGATGGCCACCTCCAAAATGCTGCAGAACACTTAAGGAAAATTCTGCGAAATGGCTTTTTACTTAGAAGAGGAATGAGAAAGAAAGAAACACCTAGCACACTAAGTGGGTTTGGCTCTGTTCCACTTAAAAGCATACAAATCCACTTGCCTAAATTAACAATTACACAATGCTGCAGCTTGCTTCTTGAGCTGCACAATCCTTCCAGGAAAAGAGCAGCAGGGAAAAGTAATTCTATAAGCATGGCTGTAAATCAGGGATCCCCCCAAATTCTTCAGCTCATCAACCATGAATTTTGAGATTGTTTCTTGACTGCTCCCCCCCAAATATTTATTATATGAAAACAATTTAATAAATACTACTTTAACTAATAATATTACAAATAATAATAATGGTATCATCAACCACTTTTGGTCAATTCCCATTGATCCTTGGAGGTTGATACTGATCACTATGAGGAAATCCTGCTTTAAATCATTGTCTTTGTTAAGTATTAGGGGAATTGAAGAAAAACACATAGGCCAACACACCAATAATTATCTAATCCAAATAAAAAAGTCAGATTATTATAAATCCCAACTGTCAGCCTGATACATCTTTGATTACAGGGGACTTTCTAACAAATTCCTTCTCTCATATAAGCCTGCCTTTTTTGTAATATCAGCATCGGAAGCCCTATTTAGGATGCCAACATGAGATGAAGGGGGATGGGGGGGTGGATTTTTTAAGTGGTGCATTTCAAATGTAGAAGAATCATTTGCAATTGAAATAGAAATAGATGGTGGTTTTTTGATGGTCAATTCAATATAGACTTCATTGGTACCAAATTTTGAAAACTATCTTGAAGGCCTAGCAACAGGAAAAACAGGATATAAATATTTTAAATAAGCGTCCAAAGTAAATCTATTAAAAATGAATTTTTAATACCCTTTTCTTTTAGGAGAAGTCGATCTAAAGAATCCTTTAGTACAGAAGAGCGCATAGTGCAAATATTGTTAAAGTATTCCAAGACTGGATATGGGATAACAGTGCTGGTGATACGATGCCGATGCAGGAATCTAAGAATCGTAGTAGCATGAAGACTAAGGCGCTCATTTGAGTCTGAAAATATATCTATAAAACCTGTAAGAGAAAGAAAAGATCCTTAGGGGAAAACATATAAAAGTTGGTGGGAAAACTCATTTTATTCTACCATTCTATACATTCTGGAAGTTTAATAAAACCTTGTCACAAATGAAAATTATAGGTGCTTTCAAACTGAGTGTTGGAGAATATCCTGAGAATACAAATCAACCAGATTTTCATTCAAAGCACAAATGGCTAGACTCAAATTACCCTACTTCGGACAGATTATACAAAGACCTAACTCTCTGGTGAAAACTGTAATGTGGGGAAAGATAGAAGAAAAGAGGGTAACTAACAGTCAAACAGATGGACTCAGTTATAGTGTCTTTGACTGCATCATTGGAAGACCTGAGAAACCAGATTAGGGACAGATTATCAAAATCTATCTATGTAGTGTCTGAGTTGACAACAGTTTTATGGTACATAGTCAATCAATCAAATAGAGCTGGGAAAAGAGAGAAAAGCTATTTCTGGTAAAACTCATGAAAATATTATTTTAAGCATAAATGCTATAAATGCATGGGTTAATTCTGGCTGCCTGGAATCTAGATATTATTGTTTAGCATAAACTCATGTCATGATTTAAAAGCTATCCGTGATTTCATTATGTATCCACATAAAAAGTAATCAATGGTTCCACTGTATTAATACTTTAAATTTGACAACTAATGCTTTGTTTGTTTAATGTATCTTAGAATGACAGATGGACACATTTTCATATAAGCTTAATTATAGGCATTTTTATAAAAGTTTCCAGCTCTAAGTTGTAAGGTTCAGTTAGACAGCTTTAGAAAAAAAATAACTGAAGATAAAACAAGGACATTGAAAATATAATTTTGTTCCACTATTCTCTCTATTTAGAAATTTGGAAGAGCTCCATGAACTTAATATTTTATTTCAGGCAGTAGGCAAAGTATATATGCACATACACAACTTGAAACATCATGTTTCTTAAAAACTGTATCCATCTAAACCAGGACTCTCCAAGGTCTCAGTGAAAGGGTTTCTCCAGTGCATAAATCAAAGATCGTTTAAGTGAAGATGCCAGGAACATGTTCCTTCCTTTTTTCTTACCTGGAATAAGTGAACAACTTTGCATCTGCCGGATTACATGACTAAGCTCTCCTTGCAAATTTGCACCACTGGAGCTCTTGAGAACTTCCAGCATATTTTCCACATCCACTGTGCCATCGCCCTCAGGATCAAACTGAGCAAAAGCCTAGTTGGGGAAAAAAAGTTAGAAAAACCTCTCAGTACTTATCATTCCAATCAGCTGCTGGAAATCAACAAATTCTTGATTAGAATTTGGTCAGCATTAACAGCATCTTGCTCAAAGACCTTCCTGAGGTTCTAAAGAAATAACTCTCATATAATTATCTCTAATATAGTTATACAAATTTAAATTCCATAAAAGGCCTCTCACAGAAGAAATCAAGAATCGCAGTCATTACAAATAAATGACACCTGGTTGTCCTGGGGTAATGTGCAAAGCTTGTATACAACATATACAAACTTGACTGACAGACTTTCAGTAGGCCTGGCCTGAAGAAACAAATGCTCATATTTCTCCAGGCAACTGTTCCCTATTTTTCACTTTCCACAGTCCAACCACAGAAAGGATAGATATTAATGGTGGTAAAGGCCTTCAGCTTTTCTGATCTTGGCAGTTAAGGTAACTGTAAACCACAATTTTAGATTACAGTACCCTTACTGGCTGCAAATATTTGATGACAAGAAACAAAGCATTCAAAGACCTTTCTCTGAAACCGGTTAAGTTGCCTTCCAAACAGGATAAATACAATTCTGGTTGTCAACACAAGGGTCAACACTGCAAATGGATGCATACAGAATGCTGCTGCATCTGATCTTTACAAATATAATCTATATGAAATACTATATTAACTGATATCACAATGGTCTCCTCAGAAAATATTCTGCCACCTTTAATATAGCAATTTCAGCTCAATCAGTAAGCCCTGATTCTTTGAGATGATCTCATTTTTATTTAAAATTCTATCATCAATATAGAAATACTGCTGAGAAGATTTGCTTTATCTAATGAAAGCAAACAATCTTGAATATTTATAGCCCATCCATTCCTGCATTAGATGATATCCAGTGAATACAGAATGGTGGTCTCCAAATAAATGTGGGCATATTAGCAGTAGTGTAATAAAAATATTTATACAGAATACATTTGTTTCACCTGTATTCAGCACCTACCACACCTTAACCAGCACTTTTCTGAGATCAATGGTATGTAAACAGAGTAGACAGTAAACTTCTTATTCAGAGCTCTCTGTGTTTAGTACTGGTAGATTTTATTTATACTTAATAATCAATTTTTATTTTGTCTGCTATAGTGCTACTTTATTTCTATTTGCAGACATTATATGTCTTAATCAGTGGTGGGATTCAGCCGGTTCATAGAACCGGTAGCTAATTTTTTGTTGCCCAGGCCCAGAATGGACTTCCGGAAGTGGCATCCACAGAGAACCGGTTGTTCACATATTTGAATCCCACCACTGGTCTTAATATGTCATCTACCATATATTATGAATTGCATTTGAATTTTCTAATGTTTAATTAACTAGCTGTCAGGTAATGTGTTATTTTTTTTAAGATCATATTTTATTTCAATATATTCCATAGCGTAATTGGACTGTGATTGGATTTGCAGAAATGGACTCTAGAAATATAAGTAAACAAGACAATGTTGCCATTTGCTACAGCTTGAAGGCATGTAAATCAACCAGCTTTCCTATCTGAGTAACTTGTTTTTTAACAGGGTGTGGTCCACTGAACCTTTGCCCAGATGCAATACTGTACTTCTCTTGACATTATCTTTTATTAGATTATTTACTTTCCACACCCTTCCCACAAAAGCAACAAAATACTTCGCAGATTCATTTTACCTGTTTTAATCTAGCCTTCACATACTTTTGGAATTTTTCTTGATTACACTATTAATTTAAAATCAAAATGTGCTACAATCAGAATGTATACTACTCTGAAAGAAGAGTTAAGGAATGCCCTTCATCAAACCCCTCTATGCAGTAGGAAGGGAGCTTTAGCATCCACCCCATCATTAGAATTGGCTCTAATTGGGAAAGGAGCTCTCCTAAACATCAACGCTCCAAACCAAAAGGAAATTTAACGACCAATAACTTAAGTTGCACTCAGAAAACACATGGTAACCAATGTAGCTCTCAGAACAGTAGTGTAACATTGCAGTGCCTAGACCAGTGATGGCGAACCTTTTAGAGACTGAGTGCCCAAACTGCAACCCAAAACCCACTTATGCATCGTCAGGTGCCGGGTGGGCGTGGCCCATTGGCTGGGCGTGGCCCATTGGCTGGGCGTGGCTGCGGTGGTAACGGCAGACTGGGTGGGACTAAAAAGTTCAATCAATCAATTCCAACTTTGCAAGATCTTTTTTTTCCGCGAGAAGTTGAAATTGACTGATTGATTGAACTTTTTTTTTTTGTACACGGCGGTGGTGGCCTAAAGTGAAAAGGTTTTATAAAACCCAGCTGAAGGCCTAGGACTGGGACGATGGCGCGCGTGCCCACAGAGAGGGCTCTGAGTGCTGCCTCTGGCACCCGTGCCATAGGTTCGCCACCACTGGCCTAGACTGCTCAGTAAGTCTTACTGCTGATGCATTCAGGACCAGCTGAAGTTCCTGGGTGGTCTTTGAGGGCAGCTCCATTAAGAACAAATTATAGTAATCCAATCTACAACTCATGCATCAACTGAAGCTGAACAAAACGCAAAATGAAACAGCTTCCATCTGCTTTTGTAGCAGGTACTATGAATCCAAAAGAATCCTCAAGTAGTAAACCTGTGCCAACTAAGCATAACCCTACTAAGAATTATATTTGATATTATCCTCGATTAAGTAGGCTTCTGACTTAACATCCACTCCATTTTGCTTGGCTCTTTTTTCCTATCAAGGTTCTGACAGATTCCAAGCATCAGGCCAGGACTTTTTGGCCCAGGGTCAGATCCACCCACTCAAATAGGAGTGTAATCAATGCAAAAAATGCCTCCAATTCCCAATCCTCACAGATGGCCCAATGAAACCTGTGGTTGACAGTATTTGTCACTGAGAGGTTCAGCAGGATAAGGACAATCATGATAGCTCACAACCATGAGGACAATCAGTGCAGTTTTTCTCCTTACTAGGGCCTGTTTCCCAGCTGCCAGTTATCACATATCCTCCAAAGCTTTAATTATTGCTCCAACATTTTCTCACAATTTTCTCACTTCAAGTGCCACAGGCTCAAAATCCACTCAGGTAAATAAGTCATTTCTGCAATATTTTAAGATACTGTGGGATCCTTGGTGCTCCCAGAGCTTGGTTCTTTTCTTGCAGATGTTTCATTACCCAACTAGATATAACATCACTGGAACTAGCAAGATACTGTTCATCAAGCTTCAAAGAGAAGTACGAGCAACCTTATCCCTGAAATGCTTAATCAGGTAATTGCAGTTTCCCAGCAGGGACTTCTAGCTGTAATTCCCTAGATCAGCTTAGGACACTCTGAATTTTGCAACGGACAAATATTCTGCAGATAATAGTAATTTATTTATTGAATCATATTTATATGCTGCCCATCACACAGAAATGTAATCTTGCTTTGTTGCCTTATTACATGAGGTAGGCTCAAATTTTTGTTCATACGTATTTCCAGCTGTATTCACACCTCACTTTCCCCAACCTTGCTCCAAGCATCTCTTTACTTAATTTCCCAAAACTCATCAGAAAACCCAGTCACTCTGAAAGAAGCAGCCCTATGTAGTATACTTATCACCTTTATATTGATAGAGGCTATCAATACATTCAATAGAGCTGCCCTAGTTGTTGAAGAATTCCCCAAACCCATCTGAAAACCCTGTAGATTCATCAAGCACTTGAGGCAGGTCATCTTAAACCAATGCTTTTTTCCTGTGGAGGTTAACAGCCCCCATTAAACGCTTTGTCATGAGGAATGATGTGTCTGTGACAAAAACCTGTGCAAAAGTCTCCTGTTATCTCTTTATCTGTGATAAAGAGAATATATCAAGTGTGGCCAGCAGCTATTTGGTGTGAGTCATTGATTGCATAAACATTTTGTACTTTTTATATGCAACAATAAAGTTGTTGGCTAAGAACCTAAAGAAGTTGCCACAAATATTGCACTAATGATGCAACAAGGAATATGGATCTACAATTAATAATGTAACAAAGATGTGTTGGACAAAGAAATGCAGCAAACTATTGCAGGCTTTAGAGATAAATCACAACAAATAGAATAAGTAGATGAAATTTGCACAGAAAGTTTATTAAACATGAGAAAATGGATAAATTTTAAGAAAAAGTAATAGACATGGGAAATGTATGGTCTGTGAATGAATGCTTGCCATTTAAGAACATGCTTCTAACCATTTTGTTATACTGAAGAGTTGGTCAGAAAAAAAAATGAAAAGTTAAATACAGTAGGATTAAAGAACAAAAGGTAATGTATGAAGCAGTGTACAGACATAGTGGAAACAATGATAAATAAGAAAATGTATAAAAAACTTTCATTAGTTTTTACTTACCTTTTTCACTTATCTCTTGCCATCATTATTCAATCTAAATTTATTTCCAGCCAACTCCAGTGGATTCTAATTTATTTTGCTTACTATTTTTTCTGCATAACACTGATGCCCCAAAAGGAAACATTAGGATTAGTACTCTGTATTTATCTAGAAATAAACATGCTGAAAGGGCTCCATTAAAATCATACTGACAATTGGTCCTCATTTCTCTAAATTGTACATGGTTTAAAATGTTTCTAGGCATTCCATGTCTCATTATTTCAAATGTATTCCCTAATGCAGGGGTAGGCAACCTTGGTGAAAGCCTGCATATGCTTGCAGCCTGCTAATTGGTTCAGGAGAAAGCCCAAGATGAAATTCCAATAATACATTTAGTACTAAATGTAAGCCAGAGTTTATGCAGTTCAGTAACAGTAATAGAGTTGGAAGGGACCTTGGAGGTCATCTAGTCCAACTCCTTGCTCTTGCAAGGGACCTATACTATTTCTGATAGAAAGCTGTCCAGTCTCTTCTTCAAAGCCTCCAGTGCTGGGGCGCCCACAACTTCTGAAGGCAAGCAATTGCTCGATTGCTATTCCATTGGTCGTTCAATGATTCTCCTCTCACACACATGCATCAGAAAGATGCCCTGAAAGCCTCTCCGAGCACTAACAACTCTTTTTGTGCCAGCCCTGGAAAAGTGTAGGGTTGCCAGGTTCTGCTTCCAAAAAATAGCCGACAAGCGGGGGGGGGGGGGGGTGTTAAGTAGTAAAAAAAAAAGTAGACTGTACAGCTTTAGATTACGTACCCTTTCATCGTAAAGCTTTTGAATAAAAAAAAAATGTCCACTATTTTGTGAAAAAAAAAATAGTGAACATAATGTGAAAAAAGTGGACTGTCCACTCAAATAGTGGACACCTGGCAACCCTAGGCCCCTTTTGCCCTGCAGGTGCAGTTGAGCTTTTCCTCCCCCCCCCCCCGGGTGGCTCTCCCGTGCTCACCTCTTCGCTCCTGACTCGCTCCTCGGCCGCAGCGGCAGCGGGGTCTCCTCCTGCCCCAGCGGCGGCGGCGGCAGCTGCCGTGGCCGTCGTCCCTTGCGCGGGCCCAGCACGAATCTCCAAGGCTTCGCAGAGCTGCTCGAGGCTGATGGCGTGCTCCCCGCGGCCCAGGCGCTCCTCCAGCCAGCGCACCAAAGCGGCGTGGTGGCGCGAGAGCAGCGACTCGGCCGCGGGCACCTCGCGCAGGCGAGCGGCGGCTTCCTCGCGCAGGCGGGCCTCTCCGAGCAACACCGCCGGCGGCGGGAGGGTCGAGGCGGCGGAGGAAGAAGACGACGACGACGACGACGAAGCTGGCGGCGGGGAAGCTAGGCCCGGGAAGGCGGCCTCCATAGCTCCCGGCGGAGGTGACTCGCTGGTGGCAGCGGCCCAGTTGCCGTTACTATTGCTCCAGGTGACGATGTTCGCCGTTCCTCCTCCTCCTCCTCCTCCTCCTCCTCCCGCTGCTGCCGCCTCCTCCTCTTCTTCCTCTCCCTCGCTGTGGCTACCCACGTTCCCCATGAAGCCCTCGGTCCACCTTTTGCCCTCCGGCTTCCTCCCTTCAGGCGAACTCCTGTCACGGATCAGGAAGGGCCGTCTCTCTCTCTCTCTCTTTCTCTCGCGCGTCTTCTTCCCTCAGGACACACTTCCGCCCGAACGTCGCAAAGTCTGCTCGCCCGTTGGCGGTCTACGACCCTGCCGTAAAGCACAGCTGGAGGAGGAGGGGGCCCAGGGCCCAAGCAGCACGGCCAAAGATGGCCCCCGGTCGTCTAATTATTCAGAGAGAAAGTGATTGCATCGCTTTTCGGCAACGCCGCAAACCCGAGCATGGGAGTCTCTCTACAGCAACAGAGGGCTGGCCTGATTTTGTGGCAGAGTCGCAAAAATCACAGCCGCCTAGGGAGCTAAGAGTATGATCTAATCCAGGGGTAGTCAAACCTTGGCTCTTTTATGACTCGTGGACTTCAATTCCCAGAATTCCTGAGCCAGCTTAGCTGGCTCAGGAATTCTGGGAGTTGAAGTCCACGAGTCATAAAAGAGCCAAGGTTGACTACCCCTGATCTAATCGGTGCGAGCGTCTCAGAATGCCGCAAAAAGGCGATCGGGACTCGTCTTTTGACGGCAGAGGCAAGAGAGGTAATGTCCGATAGTGTTAATTTTGGCTGAAAGAAACTTGCGGCATAGAGATAAGAAAAGGGAAGAATCACCTGGTTATTTCAAAGGGGTTTTGTTTGTAGATCCAGATTGGCTGCATAGAAATGGAAAACGAAAGAGCTACAACTCGGGCAGAAACAAGAGAGGTGTGTTTGATTTGATTAATCTGTCAAAAAGAGACGCGCTGGGGCGGGAGTTTATTTTCTATGGAGAGTGAGTAGATGGAGAAATCGCTACGCAGGACCGAAAGCCGGTAGCATCGGGGTCTTGCAACGGGTAGAAAGCCTTTGAAAACGGAGGTTGTGATTATCTAACCCAGCGATTTCCCCAGGGTTACCCCTGGGTAACGAGTTTTGTGTTATCAGTGACTACCCGCCTGCTTCCAGCTGGATTGGAAAGCAACAGCAGTAAGATATTTACCTCTTTGTGTAATTTATGCTGCCTACTCTTCTGATTCTCATTGCTTCTGGCACGCAATGTTTGAGAACCACTGATCTAGGTAAACAGCAAGCGGTTAAAAATCCTGCATCCAACCCCCATTCCCCCCCTCCAATTTCAAGATTTCTCAGGCAAACCAAATAATTAAAAATGCAACACAAAAATGCATTCCTATAAACTGCCCACCTACATTTCAAAACTGCTTTTTTTACAACAACCTGCATTTGGCAGATAAAAACAGGGACATGCTTTTAAAAACAAAATGTTGGTATCAAAAACTACTCCTTTTTCCTTACTCTTATAAGGCCGTGGCATACGAAGCCAAGCATGTCCCTTGCATTTAAAAAACATCACACCCCTCTCTTAAATTATGTATAGTGCATTGATATGTCCTGCAAGTCTAGCCTTTTTAATTAGTTCGTGATTCATGGCCCAGATAATAAGTTAATTCAGCAACATTTTTAAATGTGTTGCTTGAATACAGCCGTTCATTGACCCTGCTTTGTCATTATATGGCAAATCTTATGTATTATTATTATTTTATCCTTTTTTGTATATAACTCAAGGGAGTGAACATATCTAATACTTCTGCCTGATGAGGGAATTGAAGGGGAACTCATCAAATTTGCAGATGACACCAAACTGACAGGAGTAGCCAACACCCCAAAAGACAAACTCAGGATCCAAAAAGATCTAGACAAACCTGAACAATGGGCCCTACGCCAACAAAATGAGTTTCAATGTGGAGAAAAGCAAAGTTTTACATTTAGGTAGGAAAAATCAAAGGCAGAAGTACAGATTGGGTGAGACCTGGCTTAAAAATAGTAACTGAGAGGGACCTTGGAGTCCTAGTGGACGATCACTTGACTATGAGCCAGCACTGTGCAGCAGCAACCAAAAAAGCTAATACAATCCTGGGTTGTATAAACAGAGACATAGAATCAAGATCACACAAAGTATTAGTACCACTTTATAAAACCCTAGTAAGACCACACCTGGAATACTGCAGCCAATTCTGGTCACTATATCACAAAAAAGATGTTGAGACTTTGGAAAAAATTCAGAGAAGAGCAACTAAGATGATCCAAGGCCTGGAGACTAAAACATACGAAGAATGGCTGCAGGACTTGGGTTTGGCTAGTCTAAAGAAAAGAAGAAATAGGGGAGACATGATAGCAATATTCCAGTATCTGCTGCCACAAGAAGATGAGTACCAGAGGGAAGGACAAGAAACAATGGTTGGAAACTAATCAAAGAGAGAAGCAACCTGGAATTAAGGAGAAACTTCCTGACAATGAGGACAATCAACCAGTGGAACAGCTTGCATCCAGAAATCATGGGTGCACCATCACTGGAGATTTTTAAGAAGAGACTAGACAATCACCTGTCTGAGATGGTATAGGTCCTCCTGCTTGATCAGGGGGTTGGACTAGAAGACCACCAAGGTCCCATTCTATTCTATTCCATTCCATTCCATTCCTAAGGGAGGTCTTGAAAAGTGTTGTGATTCAAGCGACTCAGAGTAGCCTTGAACCACGAGATGGATGGCAAATACATTTGATAAAGAAATAAATAAAATCTAGCCCAGCTCCTTAACCACTATAGCAAATTGATTCTCTGTATGATTGATTGCCTATGTGTTGCCTGTTATGCCTGCTCTTTCACAGGCAATCTAACAAGATTTGTACTGATGAATCAACTGTAAAGATTTCATGCTTTTAATGTAATACAACCACAGGGCAATGGGAATGTGTATATTTTTGGTAACAGTTGATTTAGCCACCAGATGTGTTTCTGCAATATATTCAGTCCGCTTAAAAGCCACTTATAAACTGGAAATTAATTCAAAATCCAGCTGCTAGCAGCTGAGCTGTGTCTGGGCTGAGCAGCTGCAGTTTCAGCTTTGGCCCCCATAGAGGTGGCACTGCAGCACAACAAAAGTATATTGTCTTGATAACGCCCAGTAGGACAGCTATCCTGGGGTGAAAGCACATTCTGAAAGTGAGTTCTGTTGTCTTATATTCTCTACTTACAGAGTTTATTCCACAAGTTCATGTTTCTAAATCACAGAGTTGGTAGTGGAGGAACATATTTTGGTCGAGAGTGAGAATATCCACAAGCATATCCACTAAGTGAGAACACATCTGTTTTCCCTGTGTGTTAGGTCCATTGTTGGACTAATGGAGACATTTTTATCTAATGCCTAAATCATTTTGGTGCTCCTCTAATTTAAACTCATGAGATCTGGATAGTAGAGACTACAGTATTACTTTACCTTTTCCTATGTGCAATCCAAAGGTACAAAAGGTGCATTCTGTCACTGTACAGTTTACCCATTGAAATATTTATTTCTTATGGAAAATAAATGATAGAATGCATCAGGAGATACTGCAAAGACAGTACCAGAAAAAACATCAGAGAATGCAATAGAGCCAAAAACATTTTCAGGTGAACAACCTATGCCTCAGAGTTTTGAAACAATAATATTTATTTATATCTTACTTTTCCCCCCTCCCCAGGGGCATTGAATTATGTACTTTCTCATTAGGAAAAAGAATCCGTGAATAATTGTTGGGGCGTGCTTGCCTCCCTCTGTCATTCTGCCTGAAATGTTTTGAAAAAAGTAGCAGTGAGAAATAAGCAGTGCTGCTTATGTGTGAAGATCATTTCAGTGTATAATAAAACACTTATCATTTATTTACTATGTTGTTCCATTTGATGCTGCCTGACTCTAAACAGCCCTGGGCAGCTTACAATACACCAAAACAATATAAAAGCCATATAATAAAGAATAAAGAACAACAAAATCAGACTTGGACAAAAAAAGGAGAGGAAACTGTGAACCCAGCAAACCCCAGAAGATCCCACCAGCAATTGACAAGGGGGCTGAAAACATGCTAGCCCAGAGAGAACAGCTTGGCCTTTATGGTGCTTCAGAATGCCAACAGGGTGGGACCAACCAGAGCTGGGGGAGGGGTACTTCCTTCCAGAAGACTCTCTAGATCAGGTGTAGTCAACCTTGGCTCTTTTATGACTCGTGGACTTCAACTCCCAGAATTCCTGAGCCAGCACAGCTGGCTCAGGAATTCTAGGAGTTGAAGTCCACGAGTCATAAAAGAGCCAAGGTTGACTACCCCTGATCTAGATCCTGATAGGTAGCATTCTTTAATAGAAGAAGCACGGAACATGGAGCATGCCAGCCCTATCAGATCAATTCCATCTGGTAGAAACCACATTATTAAATATTTCTGGAACTTCATTAACGTGATTATGTTTTATACACATTTTTATTTATTCTTTTTTTTTAAAAAAAGGAAAGAGAAAATAAACATGTCCTCGCACTTGTTCTTTAACATCAGAAATAATTAAGAAAAGCTTCAGTCAAGGCATCATCATCATCTTTTTTTTTATTATTAAAAGTTTTATAAAGTTTACAATATAAATCCCCCCCACCCCTACAACCCCCCCTCTCCCCCCACTTCCCAGAGCTGTTCACAGGGTTACAAATAATAATCATAATCTAAATAACATAAACCAACTAATTATATAACCAAATCTATAACACACTTTAACTCATTTTTAAAATAAATTTAAATAAGTTAAAATTAAAATTAAATACATTTTTAAAAGAAGAAAAAACAAACTAGTAAACAACACTACTAGTCGAAATTATAATAAAAATCATACAAGCTATTATGCAAGCACTTAATAAAATAATAACAATAATATTTTAAAATTTTTACCCAAAAGCCAAATGGAACTTTTCAGTCCCATATTTGTTTTGAATATAATCTATCCATCTCCATACCGAAATATAACTTTCATATGACTGATCCTTCAAATAAGCAGAAATCTTAGCCATTTCCGCTAAATTTGACACTTTAATCGACCATTCTTCTACAGTGGGCAAACCATCCGTCTTCCAATAT